ACAGATCAAGTTTGTATTTTGTTTGGTTTGGATGATTTTATGCAGCGTTATGGTCCTTGGACTTAGAAAATTCATGCAAATAATCAGTTTTCTGCACTCTTTTTTTGTTGTGCTTGAAGATATTGATTTGATATTTGTTATATAGTTTACAACGCGACAAGTTATAGATCAAGTTAGCAGTACAATGAACTTTTAACAGGTAGGGGACTATGTATTGCTGTGCAATACTCTCAGACTGCGTGTTCTTTTCCAGTTCGGGTCATGTCTGCAAGAAAATCACAAACATGATAGGTTCATTGCAAAAAGGGAAACAGTTATCAAAAATGTTGTTGCCATTGTTGGTTTTCTCATCCACAATTACACAATTAATTTACCTTGGATAGTTAAGTTTTTTAGCCCAACTGTCACAGCATTGTTAACAATTACAAAAAGCCTGTATACATATACATGTATATATATTTATATCTTAATTCCCACTTTTATTTCAGTTAATGAGGCTGAGGCAACTTCAAACATTCATTGTTACCTGACCTTGACCTCATTTTCATTTGCCAGTATTCCAGTTACAAATGTACATTTAGGTCATTTTTTTCTGTAAATGGTCTGTTATACTGTATATACAATAATGTATGTCAGGAAAGCTTTAATTAGATTGTTATAATTTGTTTTAAGAGAATATATATGTCCTTCTGATAGATATGTTGTACCTATATATATATATATATATATATATATATATATGTCATTGACTTATTTCCATGCTAGTTTACATAGTTAGAATAGAGAATGGAAACAGGGAATGTGTCAAAATGACAACAACTCAACCAAAGAGCAGAAAACAGCTCTAGGCCCACAATGGGTCTTCAAGTCGGCGGGAAATTCTTGCATTTAAAATCTTTGAATGAATAAGCTACACTGTAGCTCAGAGGCTTACATTTAGATATGATTGTACTTTGTAGTCAAACCAGCAATATTTGGAAGCCTGTGTGTCTAACATGTGTTATGTGAACATGGCCTTCACTTCATATTCACGCTCTGTTGATTACATGTAATATTAAGGTTAAGTATTTTGTCATTTCAGGACCTTTAAAGTATGGGTTTTGCTCATTGTTGAAGACTGTATGATGACATTCAGTTTCTTTAATCCTCATCATTTGGAATTTATATAAAAATAAGAAGATGTGATAGAAAAACAAAGGATATGGGGTATCCATCCATGACTCAAAATCAGTACATACACAGCAAAAAATACACAATAAGCATAGGAACAGCGCTTTTATTGTTGTTCTTCATCTCATGGTATGATTGCCAATGAGACAACTCTCCACAAGAGACCAAATGACACAGAAATTAACAACTTTAGGTCACTGTACGGCCTTCAACAATGAGTAAAACCCATACCATATAGTCAGCTATAAAAGGCCCCGAAATGATAAATGTAAGACAATTCAAACAAGAAAACTAATGGCCTGATCTATGTACAAATAATGAACGAAAAACAAATATGATATACAGCAACAAACGAAAACCTCTGAATTACAGGCTCCTGACTTGGGACAGGCACACACAGAATGTGGCAGGGTTAAACTAGTTTGTTGGCGCCAAACCCTCCCCCTAGCCTGGGACAGAAGTGTAACTACTATCAAGCATGTCAAGTGGATAGTTATCTCATTGACAATCATACCACATCTCCTTATTTTTATAAGCTATACTCAGTTGCAAGATTAAACACATAGTTGTTCTAGCTTATGACTTTCACCCTAGACCAGTAACAGTGTACAACAAACTACTATTGTCTTTAGTTAAATACGCACTTCCTTAATAAAGTATGATTAGTTCTTCCTGTTTAGATCTCTCATGATTAAAATATTTTGTAAACAATTTAATCTTTATAAAACATGCAGAAGTTGCACTCATTATCATAGTACATGTAGTATATAAATACTGAATGATCACTGGAAATTTGTGTTTAGGAAATTATAGCATATTACACGAACAAAAGTTTATTCAATGTGTAAACGGATGGCTCCAGCTCAGGATCTAAATTTTGAAGAAGTTTATTTTTTTATTTCGTTTTTTAATCGTTAATGAGAATAGGAACAACTTATTAAATTGGATTCACTTATTCTGAATGATTTTGGACAATGGTGTTAAATATGAATGATGATCCACTATCACCAGTGAAATATGGTTGTGAAGTGACTGTAGACATAACAAGAAATAATGTTGAGAATTCTGTACAAAGTCAGTGTTCTGAGGATAAAGTTGAATTCTTTGAACTCCGTACAGAGGTAATGTTGAAAGAAATAAACTAAACAGATTTAATGAAATGGAGTTTCAACTTGTACTCTTTTAAGTTTAACCGTGCCACATATTGATGTTCTTTTCCCCAAGGCAAAATTTTATAAGTGAAATAGATTGATTGATTTGTTTTTAACGCCACTTTCAGCACAGCTGTCATGCTATTTCGTAATGGTCAGTTTTTATTGGTGGAGGAAGTGGCCAGAGAAAATTACTGACCTTCAGTAGGAAACAGACAATCCTAGTCAATTAAGATTGGAGTCTCGTGCACCTGCCACGTGGGGGATTTGAACTGACAACCTCAGTGTTGACAGGCTAGTGATAAAGTAGTTTGCCTACTTAGACCACTTGGCCACCAAGGCCCCAAAAAGTGAAATTCAAATTCAGACAACTGTGTAAAATAAGAATATGTTTATGTGCACGTGCCTGTAACATAAGAAAAATTAGCAAGGGAAATTAAAACCATTAATGTAAAAGTAAAGAATCATTTAAAATGAATCATTTCTAAACCAGAATACAGTTTTTAACATTTTATTAAATATAGCTGGAGTTATTGTCCTCACATAGTTTCAGTTTATCAAAAACATGTAAAGATTTCCCTTCTTTTTACATTTGTTTTGCTGACATTTTATAGACCCAACATAAACTTTTCATTCCCTATTACAGTTTAAGGAAGGAAACAGATTAAAAATTTTGCATGTGAACTGAATTAATTAAGTAGCTATAAAAGTTGTAAGGTCAAAACATTTATAAAGATTTTAGAGAAATTTGAAATAGAAAAAAAATAAAGAAAGGATTATAACACACTATTTAAATGTCAGAAAATTTGCATATTAGTTTACACTAAACTTGTCAATCTATTAACTTGTTTATATTTAGAAATCACTGGTCATTCATGTAAAAGCTATAGGTGATATCTATTATAAATTAATAGTTTGGAATTGTTTGTATAACTGTCTGTTTATACATTATAAACAACAACAAATATGCCTTACAAGTTCAAGGCATTTCTACCTATATCTGACATATTATGCATAAATACAAAATTTCATTCCTAAATTTTTCCAAAGTTTCTGTTACTTTCTATAAGGATTTAATCTGGAAGCATAATTACAGTATAAGGTACAGAGAAAAATTCATTATCATGGTTTTGAATGTAAAATATCACTGTATTCCATTAGTGAAAAAATGATTCAAAGGAGGGGGCACCTGTTGAAACCTATACGTTTTGAGGATACTGATGTATTTACTAAGGTAATATTTATTTGGATTTTCAGTTTTGTTAATATGTCAGGTTCTAATCATATAGACGAAGCATGTTTCATTTAGAAACTTGACAGAAAAAAACCAAAAAACCCAGAGATCTTAAAAGTAAATCATATAAATCAGGGATTCAACAAAATTCAACAATGACTGAATAAAATATTTTTTGCCCATTATACGTTTTAGATTCGTAATAAATGTAAAATAATATGCATAGAGGATTTAGTTAAGTATATATAGATGTGTTGGTTCAATCATTTCTTCTCATTATAATTACAAGACTCTTGCATTGTTGCATATGACTTTAAATACATTGTCTGTGATTACCATGATTAAATACATTGTCTGTGATTACCATGAATAAATACATTGTCTGTGATTACCTTGATTAAATACATTGTCTGTAATTACCATGAAGCTTTCATTTAATATTGTTTAAATCATCGGTCATATTTAATATTCCTGTGAAAGCCTTATTTATGTGGAACAGCTAAATTTAGTCATTGCAATCTGACAGTCAGAAGTAATAAATGTGAATTTAAATTAAAAAGTAAATTCTTATTTCATATTAAATCAATAATTCATTACATATATATATTAGATGGACAGTTTTCTTTTTAGACCAAACTAAAGGGAACTGTCAACTAATGGTCTTTTCTCATATATGATACTGGTAACTGTTTTGGGAGGGGGTTAGTTTTGCTTTTTGTTTTTATGCCCCCACCTTAGCGGAGGGGGCATTAAGTTTTACCCTTGTCCGTCTGTACATCCGTCCATACTTCCCAAAATTGGTTTCCGTTCTCTAACTTCAGTTTGCCTCAACTGAATGTTATGCAACTTATAGACAATGCTTATAACCACAAAACACAAAAAAAAAGTTTGAATTTGGGTGGCATCACTTTTACCGTTCTAGAGTTATGCCCTTTACAAATGAAAAAAATGTTGAAATTTTTTTTTCCATTCTCTAACTTTAGTTTGCCTCAACCAAATGTTATGAATCTTATACACAATGTTTGAATGTTGGTGGCGTCACTTTTACCGTTCTAGAGTTATGCTCCTTTAGAAATGGAAAAATTGCTGAATTTTCGTTTCCATTCTCTAACTTTAGTTTGCCTCAACCAAATGTTATGAAACTTATGCACAATGCTTATTACCACAAAACACAGATCAAGTTCACATTAATTTTATATAAATACAGACTTTACCACAATACCCTTTTAATAAGGATATATATATAAAATAGATTGAAATTGGAAAATTTGTAAATTTTAGTATGATGAGTTGAAAAAAATATTGTTGATAGAGTCTATTTATCTAATATAATGACTTGCATTAAAACTTGATGAAAATCCGCTTTGAATGAAATTAGCATTATTTTCACACAAAACGTTTTACTCATTAGAACTTTGAACATGCATTTTCTTGTTTATTTGTAGGTTCCAGAATTATTCAGTTGTATTCAGGAAGAAACAAGACGAGATTTGTTTGAAGATCTGGGTGAACAGAAAGTTTCAGAACCTGCTAAAGCTTTCTATGAAATTATGTACATTGGTCGAGCTAAACTTAAGTGCAAAAAGATAACTTGTGCTCACATAGACGATCTTTATGGTAAGCTGTTAAAGAAGGAAATAGATCGTAAAAAGATGCTTGAAGATAAATTTGAACAACGAAGAAGGCACGGAAGTGGAATGAGTACTAAAAGTTTACCAGCAACATTGGAAGAAAATGTTACAGTTACAGAAAATGAGCTGCAGAAACAATGTGAGACAATGAAACCTCATGATATTTTCTCTGAGAGCCCTGCAAGTAGTGCTGATGAACTGTCTAGTCTGAGTGATCAGCAAAGTTCAACAGAGAATGTCCTGGACAATTCGGGACACTTTTCTCTTGGACTACCATCTAACATCAGTGAATTGTCTGACTCAGGGGAGTTAATGAAAGAGGAACCTATCTTCAATAAAGCTTTGACAAAGACAGACAATGAACATTCCTCTAAAGATCTTCACGTACATTTCCACGAGAACAGTATCACAACAGAACAGGAAAACCCGAACCGAACAATGCTGTTCAGATTAGGTGCAAATGAGGTGTCTTTAATCAGCTTGGACAAGAAGTCCATCATATTGGACAAAAGGTTCAAAGATATTTCTTCTGTTTCACAGGTAATCACTATAAGTAATTGATAGGCCTTACTTCTAGTATTCCCAATCTGAAATACAAATGCTGTGTCCAAGCTTCACTTACAAGGATCTGACAACGCTCAGTTCTTCTTACTGTTTTATAGATCTTTTGGGATCCTCTGCTTTTGTGGTAATGATACATACCTTCAAAAATTTGAAGGCTGAAATTTCTTTGGCTAATGTTATAATTACCAGCGGCCCTTTTCACAAAAAAATCTTAGAAGTAATGCTTGTAAGTCCTCAACATTTCAGTATAACTAAAGATCAATTTCAGTCGCAAGGTTTTTTTGTGAAAAGAACCCCTAAAACAGAGAGTGGAATGGACTTGTCAGATTCATGTGAGCAAATCTTGCACAGAGGATCTGTATTTTGAACAGGTTGCAGTATGTCAAGCTATCATCCACTGGTAACATTCCAAAAGCTAGTGAATAGAAAAATTTTTCTGTTCTGGTCATGTTGGTTAAGCGATTGAGATGATGTGAGGTAGAAATTATGTAAAATACTATGTCTTGGTCCAGATAGAAATTATGTAAAATACTATGTCTTGGTCCAGATAGAAATTATGTAGAATACTATGTCTTGGTCCATTTAGAAATTTTGTAAAGTTCTATGTCTTGGTCCAAGTAGAAATGGTAATACTTACCTTACAAGAGTCCAGCTTTTGTACAACTGGATAACCTTTGAACGGATTTCTAGTAATTTGGAATGGCCAAGTGGAAATTGATAAAAAATATCGGCAAATTCAAAATTGAATCATTGGAATTGATAAAGGGATAATGGGATCATGTAAATGGAAAAAAAATCACGAAATAATAATCATATGTCAAAAATGTCAAAGAAGCAGTGCTTGTTTTGTTGTGATTAATTTTAACTTTTTCTTTTTCTTCCTGTCATAAAATCTGAGTTAAAAATGTTAAGCATACATATAGAATAGTTTTTCAGTATTGGCTCTTCAAACTGCTCAGTCATGTCAGTACTTAGTTCGAAAAAAGATATTTTCATGAATTATGTGTTAAGATATTTAATAGAGTACAGCTGTTCACTATTTGTTTATATATCGGTTAAATCTTGGTTTGCTTCATTGATTATTACAAAACATTTTTTCATAAATGTAAAAGTGTGAATACATGTGTTTTATTATGGTTCATCAATTTGACTATTTTCTCTTTAGAAAACAGATAAAATCCAATATATATATATATATATATAACTGTAAGGATTTTGGTTCACATTTTTATTCTGTTCTATTAAAGCATGCACATGTAATGACAACTTTATTGACTTATTGTTATCATATACATGTACATGTACGTGAATGAATTGATTAGAGTTATAATTAAGGAAATTGATACAGGATTTGAAATAACATAAAGATGAGTCAGTGATACTGTTATTATACTGGACAGTCACTATTGAATCATTACTAGGTAATTCGAGAAATAGCAAACTTTTCAAAAAAGAGACTGTTTTGCACTTAATGCAGTTGATAAATTGTTATATATATATATAAAATTGAGAATGGAAATGGGGAATGTGTCAAAGAGACAACAACCCGATAAATTGTTATATATATATATAAAATTGAGAATGGAAATGGGGAATGTGTCAAAGAGACAACAACCCGACCATAGAATATATATATTTACATAAACAAGTCTAAATTGAAAACAACGTTCAAACCTATATATAGGGAAAAGTTTGATGTGTGTATTTAGGAAGGCACTATTATAGGATTACTTTGATTACTTTGATATATAATTATTTGTCTTTAAGTCTTTGTCTGGGGGTGTCTTGGCTTCCTATTTTTTATTTAGGCAAATTAGATTTAGTTATATATGTTTCCTGTCTCCCTACCTACCTCAAATTTTCATGTCTACTCTAACACATTGTATGGAAAATTTTGGTAAAGCATTGTTTAAATTCTGATTGTTTTGGTTAGGCACAGTTAAACTTCCTATATGAAAAATATTTTTTGAAATAAAACCATTTTTATCATGTTTATATCTCGCCTATTTTTTTGTCAGGAAGCAGTAATAGCTACGGTAGGCATATATATATTTTTAGGCCTTAGACAATATTTAATGTGAAATTTGTTGACACAAAATACACATATTTTTTTTTAATTTTGTTTTATATTAACGATTAAGTGAAATGAATAAATGGAGTTGCAGGGTAATATGAAAATGAGAGAGTGACCAACCAAACGACAAAAATCTAAAAACATTTAGAGGTCTACATATGGTCTTAACATTGGATCAATACATAATTGATGCATCAAGCTAGAGACTCTGAAGAGATCCATAATAGTCGTGAATTAAAAACTTGTACAACTTCAACAAATGTATCATTAGCATATTGCTAATAGGGAAAATAAAGTTCAAGGCAATATTTCATGGGGACATTACTTTATGTTACAAGATCAGCCACTGATGGGGGTAATGCATGTGTTATTTGTAGCTGGACATAAGAAGCCATCAATTATCGAAGGCATTAGATTGGTAAATACTTACCATTTTGAGGAACTTATTTTGTGGAACTTATCTTTTTTTTTATGCCCCCGCCGAAGCGGAGGGGTCATTAAGGTTTACACTTGTCCATCTGTGCGTCCGTCCGTCCATCCTTATGTCTGTTCATCCGTACGTCCTGAAATTGGTTTCCGTTCTCTAACATTAGTTTCTCTTGACCAAATGTTATGAAACTTATACACAAAGCTTATTACCACAAAACACAGATCAAGTTTGAATTTGGTTGGTGTAACTTTTACCATTCCTGTGTTATGCCCCTTTATAAATGGATAAAATTGCTGAATTTTTCGTTTCTGTTCTCTTACTTTAGTTTGCCTCAACCAAATGTTATGAAACTTATTCACAATGCTTATTACCATAAAACACAGATCAAGTTCAAATTTGGGTGGCGTCACTTTTACAGTTCTCTAGTTGTGTCCCTATAAATGTTTTATGCAAGCAGGGGCATCATCTGTGTCCCATGGACACATTCTCCACGTATCTAAATCAATTTATAAATGAACACAGTATATTTTTATGCACTGTCTACAATATTAGAGGGGGCATAATAATTTCTAGTCTGTTCGTCCCTTCATCCTTCCTGTATCAGGTTAAAGTTTTTGGTTACCATGGTTACAGAAGTTTACAATGAAGTTGTTGTCATATCAATTTGAAAATTTGTGTTATAAGTGTGAGCAAAACATAGTGTTTTAAGGACACATACCGGTATATATTATTGTTTATGAAGGCTTTGTGATTCCACTTATCATGCCTATTGATATATTTAAAGTGTGGAGGATTGAGATCCCATAAAACTTATTTCACCTTTCCACATGTCCTTGGCCTGACCCAAGTTTGAAGTCCTGTAAATGATTGTCTTTTGTCACAACTTGATGTTATTCTTTTTATTTTGTGAATTTTCTGGTGTTGATAGATTGGATAGTTTAATGTTAAATTTCTTGAAGATAAGAATAAGGAGATGTGGTATGATTGCTAATAAGACAATGAAGTAGATGTAAGCAACTACAGACCACTGTATATGGCCTTCAACATTTAGAAAAACCCATACCGTATCGTCTGTATTAAAAGGCCCTGAAATGAAAAATGTGAAGCAATTCAAACGAGAAAACAAACAGCCTAATGTATAACGAAACACAAAAATATCCTGTAACTGTAAAATATAAGGGTATACATCACAAGCACAGGAACACATTCTACAGCATCCACACAACACAGCAAGAAACCCTGCAGTAAATATAGAAATTAGGAGATGGTATGATTGCCGATGAGATAACCTCCACCATAGTTCAAATGAATACTGTGTATTAACTTCTAGTTTGTTGTTGGGTAGCTGTCAGGTTACATCTCATTTAATTGATTTGTTAAGTAATATTTCACTCCAAATTTCCCTGCAAAGTTACATCCAATGGATTAAATATAGGTTGAAAACTATTGTTTAATGGAGGTGAAAAGACTCAAGTTTTTTTCATGATTTTATAAACCGGATGAGAATTGTGTTCAGGAATACAACAATAAAACAATCCTAAAGACTATAATGAATCAGTGAATTGTGATTTATAAAGATCAATATTGAGTGGGAAATGGTCAGTTAATTACAGCTTATTGTCTTATTATGTGTATTGAAGTATAGGATGAAAAAAATGGCTTACTTTAAATGTCAGATGTCAATCAAGGTTGTCAAACAATACTTGTCTTGATTTTATACTTTCATTTAGAATTCTGAAATTAAATTGTGGTAGAAGTTGAAAAATCTTTTATTTTCCAACAGTTCAAAATTAATAGATCTTAATTTATAACTTTTTATTATTCTTGAATGATGAACCTTTTAAACATTGTCAGTAATAAAAAAAAAAGTAGCAGTTTCATGACTAACATTAATTCAACAGTACTAGTGCATAACATAAATGAAAGGAGATGAAGGTATGTGTCAGTGAAACAATAAACTACATGTATAAATACAAATATACCCTAAAAAGACATCTGAAGGATGCAATTTGTAATGGTCCAACTAAATACTTATATGATAAATCAATTAATAACTTTGAAAAGACAAACATAAGTCAATTTATGTTCGTGAACCCTTTCATCTATGTTCATAAGAAAAAGGCTCTTCTTTCTATGACCATGATGACAATATCCCCTTACTTCTTGGAAAAATTGTGATGCGAGAGTTATGTCTAAGAGGGATTTAATTCAATAAATAAATTGTACATGCATTTTGTTAATGATAAATGCCAAAAAACATAACCAAAAGGACATAGTTTGCAAAATAGTTTTAACATTTTGACCAATAATTGAATAAAAGAAGGCAGCAGGGATGGTGATAATATTATAGTTAGCATTGATATATGAATATTTTGTTTTTATATTATTTTTTATCTTTTTGTAGGGAAAAGATAACTCAGAGGTGTTTGGTTTTATTGCCAGAGAAAATGGAAATGTTTTTGTGTGCCATGTAATGAAATGTCATTCCTTCTCTGTAGTAAGTAAACACATCACCACACACACACACACACATAGGCTTGAAAAATGGAATTGTCTTTGCATATCATGTTACTTCTCTCCTATAGATTTTACAGAAAAAAAAACATGTGTACTGCAGTGGGAGACAAACTAGAATTCATATGCATCATAGTGAAGTCCTCATTCTTTAAATGTTCAATAGTACCACAGTATAATAATCTGTATCCTACTTCAACATGCTTATACAGTGAAACCTGTGTAATCCCAAACCCCCATTAGACCTGGATATTTTATTTGGACTTTCTTTTTAAAACATTTTATTAAATTTCTTATTGTGCAACACCCACATACATGTCTATTTTGGTCTCAGCTGTCATTCAAAATAAAAGTTGCATAGCAAGTTTAATAATGATGTCACACACACATTAACCCATGTTTTGGTGGAATCAGCTCTGTTTACAAAGTGAAAGAAGGATGGCATTTTAGAATTGTAGATAAAAATAAGGAATTAAAATTTGCAAAAGACTTTCAAAGCTGCATCACATGAATAATTTAGTTCCTGATTAATATTCTTTATTTCTTGTCAATATAAAATGTCTAATGATACAAAGGATATTTTGTTTTATATAGAGCTGAGAGAATGGCATTTCACACAGATTCCATCCGTTGAATTCCTTATTGTGCTAAAATTACAGGAAGTCATAAGACATATTCCTCAATATATTGGAAAACATATCAAACTTTTATACGTTGTTAGCCTGATCAATGAATTAATTATTTATGTCACTGTTTAACGAATCCCCTGTATGATGTTGTTTAGTATACAAGGCTACATTGAAGTGTTTTATTTGATTTTCTCTATGTATTGGTAATTATAAGGCATTATCATTTCTTATGATTTTACATGTACAGTACTAGTTCAAGGTTAGTAAAACTTCAAAAGACCAGGGGTGGGTTATTTTTTACTGCTCTTGTTATATATATAAAAAATGAATGAGGATTTGATACATTGTATTGTCAGGATAAATTTATGATCATCTAGTAAAAGAAAATTTTAAATCTTGCTGGATCTTGCTTGTTTATTGAGACTTTCAGTGTGTGAGTATAAACTAAAGGAGATATTTGGTGACAAGGAGACAACAAACCAACAGCTTAGTTCATTAAAATATATATTTTTCGAAATCACACCATAATCATGTTGTTCACACAAGTTTTTTTTTTGTAACAGGAGTTTAAAATACATAACTTTATAGAAATAAGGAGATGTGGTATGATTGCCAATAAGACAACTATCAGCCTAACACCAAATGATGTGGATTTAAGCTTTGTGAAATTGTAGTATTCAGAATATAAATAAGTATGTATACTTGGCCCTGAATGCTCTTTCTAAGAGCAGATTTTAACACATAATGAGTCAAGACAAATATATATATATATACGACTTACATAAATCATTTTAAATCTTAAATTTCTTGGCCTTATTTTAATTTTTTGTTTCTGTCTGACTTTACTCAGTATCTCCATATATGAGTGTTGTAAAAAAATTGTTACTCCCTGTAAGGCCCAGTGAAACTTAACAAATTAAATAAACTGAAGTAAATAGTTGGGACAAAGAAGAGTAAGTTCTGAATGGTGTTTAGCTAGAATTGGAAAAAATTTTGGTGAAAAGTATCATCTTATTTTTCTTACAAATTAGTTAAGAATTATTGTTATGAACATATGGTAGTAAATAGGACCTCAGTTGTCTAGGTTACTAGCCTGATAGTATCTAAGTCTTACACATCTGCATTATTTATTCTGGTAATTTGTAATGAAGTTCAAAATATATCAGGTCAAATTCTCATAGGATTTATATTTTCTGTATGACAGTCTGTGAGAATGCAGATCTGTGGAATGTAGGTTCTTTGCGAACAAATAAACTGACAACTTTCATATTGAAAAAAGTAATGAAAGCCTTTCCCAAGTAAGAAGTGCACATTTGGTTACTGTTTTCATATAACAGTGTAATATTTTAATAATTTATTTTGTGACTTTAACTAATTGTTTAATTTTAGACAGATGAGATCATGTCTGTTCTGAGATCAGCATTCCAGTGTGCATTTGAACAGACTCATAAACAGATTTGTATAATGTGTCCATTACACCAGCTACATAAGTTGTGTCAGGAACTTAATGGTAAGTTAGATCACAAAGCAGATAAATAGACACACAGTCTGTGTCTGGTACTTAATTGTAAGTATGAATACCAATCCAGCAACAAATTTCACAATCTGTGTCGTGTAATTATCTGTGTCAAGATACGAATCAACACAAAACATAGACTATGTAAAAAACTACAAGCAGGCAACACAAAACATAGGCTATGTAAAAAAACCACAAGCAGGCAACACAAAACAACACAGGCTATGTAAAATAAAACTCCATGCAGGCAACACAAAGGCTATGTAAAAAACCACAAGCAGGCAACACAAAAAAACACAGGCTATGTAAAAAAAAACCATGCAGGCAACACAAAACAGGCTATGTAAAAAACCACAAGCAGGCAACACAAAACATAGGCTTTGTAAAAAACCAAAAGCAGGCAACACAAAACATAGGCTATGTGAAAAACCACAAGCAGGCAACAAAAAACAACACAGGCTATGTAAAAAAAAACATGCAGGCTATGTAAAAAACCACAAGCAGGCAACACAAAACATAGGCTATGTGAAAAACCACAAGCAGGCAACACAAAACAAAGGCTATGTAAAAAAACACAAGCAGGCAACACAAAACATAGGCTATGTAAAAAAAACCACAAGCAGGCAACACAAAACATAGGCTATGTAAAAAACCACAAGCAGGCAACACAAAACTTAGGCTTTGTAAAAAAACCACAAGCAGGCAACACAAAACATAGGCTATGTAAAAAACCACAAGCAGGCAACACAAAACATAGGCTATGTAAAATAAAACTCCATGCAGGCAACACAAAACATAGGCTATGTAAAAAACCACAAGCAGGTAACACAAAAAAAACACAGGCTATGTAAAAAAAACCATGCAGGCAACACAAAACATAGGCTATGTAAAAAACCACAAGCAGGCAACACAAAACATAGGCTTTGTGAAAAACCACAAGCAGGCAACACAAAACATAGGCTATGTGAAAAACCACAAGCAGGCAACACAAAACAACACAGGCTATGTAAAAAACTCCATGCAGGCAACACAAAACAGGCTATGTAAAAAACCACAAGCAGGCAACACAAAACACAGGCTATGTGAAAAACCACAAACAGGCAACACAAAATATAGGCTATTTTAAAAAAACTCCATGCAGGCAACACAAAACAACACAGGCTATGTAAAAAACCACAAGCAGGCAACACAAAACATAGGCTATGTAAAAAAACTCCATGCAGGCAACAAAATACATAGTTTTTGTCATGACATTAATCAAAAGTATAAATACCAGACAGGCAAAAGATTCATTTTTAACATCAGGAAGGTGTAAGACCAGCCTTATTTACTGACATGTCAACTATAATAGATTCACCTACATCACATGACAAACAATTATGACATGTCAACTATATATAATAGATTCAGCTACATTATATGACAAACAATTATGACATGTCAACTATAATATATATCACCTACATCACATGACAAACAATTATGACATGTCAACTATTATAGATTCACCTACATCACATGACAAACAATTATGACATGTCAACTATAATAGATTCACCTACATCACATGACAAACAATTATGACATGTCAACTATAATAGATTCACTTAGTACTTCATAAACTCATCATAGATACTAGGGGTACAAATTTATACATAAGACACATGTTTAGTCTACAAAAGACTCATCAGTGATGCTTGATTAAAAAAAAGATTAAAAGGCCAAATAAATTACGAAGTTGAAGAATATCAAAGATTCTGACTGTTTTGTACAACTCATAAATTTCAAGATATATTGTTTTCAAGATTATCTTTTAAACATATAATATATATATATTGGTAAATATTTGTTGCATTTCATTTCATAACTGTATGATTGTAGTTACTTTATAAATAGGCTTGGACAAAAATAAGCCAACATTCATACAATCGTTCAGAAGTTGACCACTATATAACAATTGCCATTAATTTCAGTACTGATTTCAATGACACAAAATCCTGTACTGTTTGAAATGCTAATAATATACTTGATAAGTCAGATGGAAGCATGTAAAACAACAAACATATTCAGCCTCCATGGATGAGAGCAAGGAATAAGATAGATCACTGTAGATGGTTTCTTTTATTGCAACTGAAAAATATATAACAATAATCTAATAAAAAAAATCTATTTTTATCTGTGTTAGAAACCTCAGGAAAACTAAGTGCCTATTGTTTGAAAATCTATAACTACATGGACACTATTTAAATTGAAAACAATTCTTATGTTTTGTACAAGACTGTACAAAGCAAAATACAGTGATTTATGTCTATTTTTTTAGGATTATCTAGTCACAATGCATATGACCTGTTAGAGAAAAGACTTCACAATCTACAGGAGAAAGATGTCGCTGATGTCCATAACCTTGTACAGGTACGGCAAAATTATAAATATTTTTTATACTTTGGATTCATTATTCGTTGGATATCAATTTTCGTGGGTACAGGTCAACCACTAATTTTAATGTTCAATGAATTACAAATTTTCTATCAGGTTGTATGCTGACTTTGCCAAATTATGAAATCAAATATCCAGGAAATGGCAAGTTTTCCGCAATCCACGAAAAAATTGGTACCCATGAAAATAAATAAATCCACAGTATGTTATTTTGGATCTTCACCGGGGATAAAGGCTTATATTCCCTGTCAGTTATATCTCCTGAGACCATATCCCCTGGTGATGGCGATGATGATGATGACGGCATCAACATTTGTTAAGTTTTCTGCTTAAGTTAGTTTCATGGGATCTATTTGTGATAGATCAACTATATTTTGTATGAAGTTGCATTACTATCAGTACACATCAGTTTGACAACTTTTTCGCGGCCCTACCCCCTAGGTCATGGTCCGGCCACTTTCAATTAATAAGCAATTTTTAATGTTAAAGTTTTCTGCTCAAGTCAGTTTGATAGGAACCACTTGTGATAGGTCAATGATATTTTATATAAAGTTGCATTACTATCAGTACATATCAGTTTGACAACTATTTTGAAGCCCTGCCCCTAGGACTTGGTCCAGTGACTTTGAATTGATTTAGCAATTTTCAATGTAAAGTTTTCTGCTGAAGCTATATTGATAGGAACTACTTACAATAGACAATGATATTTTCTATAAAGTTACATTACTGTCTGTACTTTCAGTTTGTTGATCATTTCTAGGCCCTGCCCACAAGATCATAGTCCAGTGACATTGAAATAATAAGCAATGTTGCTGTCCATTAGATTGTTTTTTGTTTTTTTTTTAATTTAATGCCGACAGGCAGGACATATCTCTGTGTCAACAGCTTATTGTCTTTGTTTTCCTTCACAGGGGATATGGGCTCATATCCCCTGTTTAGGTAACCAATTAAATTGCAAGATTAAGAGGGATATTTCACTCTAGTATAATATTAGGACATATCCATCACTTTAAATCCATATTTATATTTTGTCATTTTATAATCTTATTACCAATATCATATTGATTTTTAATTAATGTAAAATAAGAATATTTTAACTTCCTATTTACAAATAAAGAGATGTGGTATGAAATCAAATGAGACAACTATCCACCAAAGTTCAAATGAAGTGGATGTAAGCAATTATAGACAACCATGCTGCCTTTAAAAAACCAATACCGTATAGTTGGTTATGAAAGACCCTGACATGAAAAATGTGAAACAATTCAATTTGGAAAACTAACCGACTAATTTATAACAAAACAATATAGGAAAAACAAATATGACGGACATGAACCAACGACAACCACTGAACAACAGGCTCCTGACTTGGGACAAACACATAAAGAATGTGGTGGGGTTAAACATGTTTGCTGGATCCAAATCCTACCCCTAACCTGGGGCAGTGGTGAAAGTAAACATTTTAAATTACATTGATTTGAAAACCATTAACTTTTGCTACTGAAGGTTAAGCTGCTAATTTTAACTTTTACTGCACCTGTAATTGTAGTTTCAGAATTTAAAACTTTTACCACACATGTAATTGTAGTTTCAGAATTTAAAACTTTTACTGCATATGTAATTGTAGTTTGAGAATCCTCAGAGTTATGATGAGATGGTAGAGATATTAATGATTGGTCTGAGGAAGTTATGTGAAGTGAAACAGAAGGAGCATACACATTTATCTGATGCTAATAAATCATCTGTTAAAGCAGAGGTAACTGATCCGTACAAGTCATCTACAAGGACACCGGTAATTTAAAAAAGAACAAATAAATTTGAAGCTAACACGCTATTTGTGAGAAGACTGATAATTTCAACAGAAAGAACTAACACAACAATCGGGAGCTAACACATTTTTTGTGAGAGCACTCATGATTTTAACATAAACAACTTACACATAAATCTGAAGCTAACACGTTTTTTTGTGAGAATACTCATGATTGTAACATAAACAACTTACACATAAATCTGAAGCTAACACGTTTTTTTGTTATGAGTACTCACTCTGGTAATTTTAATAGAAAATTTGTGAAGATAGTTGAGGGGAAGATCATACCATCATTTTTATCTTGATTGACAATTGGGGATAACCTTAGAGATTGAAGGACTCTCATAACCAAAGAATCATTGGTTATTGTGAAAGATAAAAAAAACCTTATATAAATCTGTTGGTGCTAAATATATGAGCCTTTGTTTGAATTCACACAAATTTCTTACCTTATTGGTAAGCATTCATATTTACAACGTAGTTCATGAACTTTTTCTAATGAAGGTCATTTGTACAGAGGTAATCTTATTCATAGAATTTTCATGGTTAAAAAAGAAATATTCAGAAAAACATTTACGACAAAATGGGGCAATACTTTAAAATACTATGAAAAAATTCCATTGTTAATACAGTCAACGTTATCTTTTTTAGTTTAACATTATAGAGAGTAAAGGGAAAGCAGCATTGTCATTTGACTCGATCAAGAACAAATGTAAGAAGAGTTTAACCACGTCGTTTGAATCACTGATATTAAGGGTAAGATTCAATATCATTTTAGATTAAATTGTCAATCTTTCAACCGATTAACTGGTTAACCGGTATTAATGTTGGTGTTCAAAGACAGTGTCTGCAATACTTTACAAATGCCTGGTTATATGAAACAATGTATTGAAGTTTTTCAAGACGTCTTTTCCTAGACTATTCTGTATTCTTCTTGTCTGCATGTTTTTGATACGACATGTATACCTATGATGATCGTCAATTTTGTCTCGCCTGTGACAAAAGTCACTTAATGCAAGACATGGAGTACTATCCGGCACCATCGTAAATTGTTTGTAGTAAGCTTTATATTTCAGAGGGTAGAAGACCTAGGATTCATAACTTGTATACAGATGCGTTATGTTATGAAGATTCTGTCTGAAATATGTCTGTTGTAGTTGAAAAAATGTTTATTTTTTGTCATGTGAATTTCTCACTTATTATGAGTAATAGGATAAAAATGTTTGGTATAAGGGTTCCTTGCAGAGTCTACATGTCCATCAGACGGGTTCACCTGACCTCGACTTCATTTCCTGGATCAGTGATCAAGGATAAAGTTATGTGATTTTGTCTGTTCCTCAGATACTGTTAGCAGCAGGTCAACTATATGTGGTGTATGGAATGATTGTAAGGGGTACATATCAGTCTGGCAGGTTTCATGTTATCTTTACCTCATTTTCACGGTTCATTGGTCAATGTTAAGTTTTTGTCGAGCCTGCAACTTTTGTCGCAGAAAGCTCGACATAGGGATAGTGATCCGGCAGGGGCGGCGTTGGCTAACTTCTTAAAAGCTTTAGATTTTAGAAGGTGGAAGATCTGGATGCTTCATACTTTGTATATGGATGCCTCATGTTACGAAGTTTCCGTCAGTCACATGTCCAATGTCCTTGACCTCATTTTCATGGTTCAGTGACTACTTGAAAAAAAAGTTAAGATTTTTTGTAATGTTAAATTTTCTCTTATTATAAGTAATAGGATAACTATATTTGGTATGTGCGTACCTAACAAGAGCCTCATGCCCGTCAGATAGTTTTCATTTGATCTCGACCTCATTTCATGGATCAGTGAACAAGGTTAAGTTTTTGAGTTTTGGTCTTTTTTTCTAATACTGTATGCAATAGGTCTATTATATTTGGTGTATGGAATGATTGTAAGGTGTACATGTCTAGCTGGCAGGTGTCATCTGACCTTGACCTCATTTTCATGGTTCAGTGGTCAAAGTTAAGTTTTTGAGTTTTGGTCTGTTTTTCTAATACTATATGCAATAAAATTGAGAATGGAAATGGGGAATGTGTCAAAGAGACAACAGCCCGACCATAGAGCAGACAACAGCTGAAGGCCACCAATGGGTCTTCAAAGCAGCGAGAAACTCCCGCACCCGAAGGTGTCCCTCAACTGGCCCCTAAACAAATATGTATACTAGTTCAGTGATAATGGACGTCATACTAAACTCCAAATTATACACAGGAATAATAGATGGTTCAACTATATTTGGTGTATGGAAATATTTTATGATCCAAATGTCAGTCACACAGGTTTTATGTGACCTTGACCTCATTTTCAAGGTCCATTGCTCAGTGTTAAGTTTTTGTGTTTTGGTCTGTTTTTCTTAAACTATAAGCAATAGGTCAACTATATTTGTTGTATGGAAGAATTGTTAGCTGTACATGCCTGCCTAGCATGGTTCATCTGACCTTGACCTCATTTTCATGGTTCATTGGTCAATGTTTAGTTTACTTGGTTAATGTTAAGTTTATGTGACAGTTGTAAAAAAGCTTTATATTTAAGACTATCAACATAATATCAATGATTAGTAAAGAAGGCGAGACATTTCAGCGTGTGCACTCTTGTTGTGTTTTGATCTGTTTTTCTAATAGTATAAGCAATAGGTTAACTTTATTTGGTGTATGGAATGATTGTAAGGTGAACATGTCTGTCTGGCAGGTATCATCTGCCTTTGACCCTTACCAAAGTGGTAAAAAAACTAGTAAAGAGAAATCAAGCTTCTCAATGATCAAATTTAGTGTTTGTCAAACTGCTATATATCCAATAAATTATTCCTGTAAATTGTGTAGTTCAAATCAAATTTCTTTTAACGATTAAAATTAAACAAGCCAAATCTATTTTAGTCGAAGTGTTGGGTATCCCCTTAATTCAGTTCCTCCATATTCATTTTATGATTTAACATTGTCATTTATGATTTCAATACACATTTATATCAAATTTATTAAAATTGAAAAAAGGTCTGATCAACCGATTAAAGTTTTTGGTATTTGATATTTGGTCCTTCTGATGGTTAATCGGTAAACCGGTTAACTGTTGACAACACCATTCAATATCTACAACAGAGATATTGAATACGTCATTTGATTTACTAGTATCCATGGTAAGTTTCTATCAAGTTTTGTAAATAGCAAAGACTAATTAAAAAGTGTGCTCATATATAAAACACCTGATATGAGAAGATGTTTTCATATCAAAATGGGAATGAAAAGTGCAACTTTGCAGAATGAATGCCACTTTGGTAAATGTCTGAACTTACAACACTGTGTAACAAGTTTCTTATCCAATGAAAAAACACAGATTACAGAAAATGTAGGTCTCTTGGATTTCAAACCCCCCCAGGTATAACGTGGTAGATTGACAAATTTTCTACATGATTAGGAATCATAACAGCTTTCATAAGAGTCTATAAATGCCTTTTGCTACACACTTTTCATTCCAATACTCCATTGTTTTCCAGTAATGGTAAAGATTTGCCACTATCTTTGCCAGTCTGCCCACTTATATGATTATTGTTTAATTATATATTTATATATTAAAGATGAAAACAAAAGTTACCCACTTTAGAAAATTAAAAAAAAAGTTTATACAAATTTACCTAACAATTATTTCTATTAATAGGGTAAAAAGAAGGAAGAGGGAGAAAGAACTAGACACAGAAGTGGTACAACAGTGAGTGAATATAGCTGGACAAGATCTTTTGTAAGTAGTCACAGATGTTATATACTACTCACCTAAATTCAGAAAAAGGACAATCAAGACTTAAGCTGAAAGGGAAAAAAAGGACAAAATTGAAAACGGGAAACAAAATTAAAACATATATCCTAATGGAAGAGTCCAGTTTGATACTGGTTCTACAGACAATCAGGTTGTCCTGCTCCACATGTGATATCTTTCTACCTTACATACTGAGAAGGTACATATTTTGGGTTTTAAAACATTGGTATAAAAAAAATTGTAAAAGATATCGCATTATTATTCACATTATTTTAATACCAGAAATTTTATGAAGTTTAATTGGAACACACTCATTCTCATATTGATTTTTGTTAGTGAGTAGATGGTTAAAAAATACACTGCTGTGAATATATTTTTGCATGAGAATTGTGCATGAAAGAACCAAGTAAAGATTTATAAGAGAGAATTTTGAATTCATACATACATCCACTGAAGTTTATTATCTTGTTGTCGTATGCATTCTTTAGGTGAGTCCAAAAATAACATGGATCAACAACCAACATATATAAATTTCTCTTAATTGCTTAAAAGCGGCCTTTCTGTGACGTAATTAATTTCTTGTCTTTAATACAAATATAAAAGAAGACCTTGAAAGTATGAATTTCTTTGAAAAATAAAGCTTATATAAAGGAAGGCCCTTGTTTTGACCTTGTCCTTACAAATGTTATCTGTCTTAAATGGTAAATATTGTATCATACATTGTATGGTTGTAAGGTCTATCACATATAGTGCTTGAACTTATTGTCAACCTCAATCAGCAGTTTTCCAAAATATTGACAAAATATAATGGATTAACCACTTTTGACTTCCCAAAGCATTTACTAAAAATAAACTCCCATTATTTTATAGCATCATACTTGGTTTTCTATTACGCCAACTAGAATTAATTAGTAGATTTTCATCCAATTTGTTGTATAAATGGGCCAGGTGGGAGGATTTAATTTTTTAATTTTTATTTCCTCTGAAACCCTTAAATGGCTTTCGTATTGTGTTCTTCATATGCAAGGGTAATAATAAGCTTATATCATGTATGAATTCTGCATACTTTTTTTCAAATTCTAAAATAGATATTTCTGATTCAACCACTGTTCTATCTGCTATAGAAACCTATTTTCAGGAAATAGAAAAAAATGTGGAGAAATTGTCTCTTTTATACTACCTACATCAAATTTCTTTTGCTTTCTAAGTTATGGTTTATAGTGCCCGTGAAATGAAGCATATCCATTGGTATGAAACACAAGTGTTATGAGAACATTAAGTAAAGTGAAAACTCAACTGTGTTGAAAAGAATAGTTGATGCTTTTAAGATGAGTATGCAAGGTGTAAATATAATTGTATTAAAAGAGAGGCAAAAGATACCAAAGGGACATTCAAACTCATAAGTCGAAAATGACAACACCATGGCTAAAAAAAAAAAAAAAAAAGACCAACAGACAAACAACAGTACACAAAACACAACAAAGAATACTAAGGACTATGTCTTTTTGTACTCAAGTTTATGCTTTGGTAAATTTCTCTATTCCAGTCATGTTTTGTATACCAATATGAGCCACGATTCTTGCGCTTTTGATATCATTCACAATCTGAAATTCCTGACACAAAGTTATTGTATAAAAATTAAAAAATCTATGGTCTTCTGATCACCGAAATTTGTGACATACTGCGATTGTGGTTCTTTGACACCCCTAATTACTTGTTACCCAAATATTTCAGCCCTCCCCGTAATCAATCTCTATTCTCGGATGATAATGTAGTCATCATAGAGCAGCAGGATATATTGACTTAATTATTTTGGTCAAATTACTTGGAGAAATACGAAAAACAAAATTTGGCAACAGGAAGTTTTAGAATGAAACAAAATTATCGGTGCGGTTACCCATAACAGAAATGGACAAAACGGAAATGCAATTTTTTGAAATAACAAAAATCGTGGCGGGAAGGGCTGAAAATCTATCAATTAATTTTAGTTGGCTTATATGTACATGTTTATTGTTTTATACAGGATTCTTCAGCTGCCTCTACTCCAGATTGTTCACCAATGCCGTCCCCTGCAACGATGAACTCTCAACAGTTCCACTACCCTAGTCCACCTGGGTCACCTACGGAGGGACGACCTCGTAGTCAGACATTGGGAACATTGTCAGATACAGGTTTATTGTCCAAGAAATTCCAGGATATAACCAACTTAGTTAAACCTAAAGAGAAAGAATTGGAATTACATGACCCACCAAAGAGAAGGAATAGCATGAATAGTCCAATGAAACAAATGTAACTACATAATTAAGTATCTAATCACATGACCCACCAAAGAGAAGGAATAGTCCAATGAAACAAATGAAACTACATAATTAAGTATCTAAATGAAAAATTGATACCCCTGGTTTAGGTTTTTTTCTTTTTGGAAGTAATGCAAACATTCAATAAACTGCTTCACAGTGCGCAGCTTGATACGACCGCAGAGGTCCAACCCTAAACAGTTGGGGCAAAAATGAACACTATATTCGAGCTTGATACAGGTCTGAATTTGGATTTTAAATAAATATTTGACACATTATAGGTTTCTGACACAGAATAAATGTAGTCAAAGAACTTGAAATTGGTTATATGATTTGAATTTATATTCAATTGAAGATTTCTTGCTTTTGTGCAATACAGTGTGCTGTTGCGCAATACTTAGTAAATCTGTTTTCAGACTATATACAGAAATTAGCAAAATAAATTGTGACCCCAAATTTTTCTGTGGAAAATTGACAATTTCTTAAATCTTGAGGAAAAAAAATTAACCCCCCCCCCCCCCCCCCCCCCCCCCCCCAAAAAAACAATTTTTTGTTTACAACCCCTCCCCCCCTTTTCCCCCCAAAAAAAAATATTTGAAGAAATTTCTTAGGTCTTGTGGGAAAAAAATTGCCCTCCCCCTCAAAAAAATTTTTTTTTTTTACCCTTACAAATCTACTTTTTTTCATTTAAAGCTAAACAAGAGTTAATTTGTGACAAATGCAGGCTATAGACAACATTGGAAGTTGTTTAATTTCCCATAAATTTTAGATGTCTCAATGCATATGTTAGTATGTCACTGTAAGAGTCCATTGTTCAATGAAGTCATTCTCACCAATTGACCTCATTTCAACCAGCGTAACTAATTCATAAAACAGAACTTGAAAGTGGTCTATAAAAAAACTCTTTTGCATACAGGAGTAATATAACGTACAATGAAAAATTAACATTCAGCTGATACCAATTACTTATTTAAAACAACTTTGATATATATAATTTAATGTTAACTAATTTTGCTATGTTTTTGTAGGTTTCTGCTTGTTGGTAATAATTTCAGTAAAAAGCCCACACCCATACCAGATGATGTCTTAGATGAATCAGATGTAAACTACACATCCAACAGACGAGGATCATTCAGAAAGACTATTTTCAACAGTGTTGTCACCCCTTCAAGAACACCACATTCTGTCAAAGGTAGACATACAACCAGTACTGTAAATTCAGAAATTATTGCGTGCATTTATTATTGAGATTTCGTCATTTTAGACTAAAATGCGATTTTAATCTTTGCGATATTGAGAAAAATCCTGTTTAATTCATATAAAAAATGTCAAAATGCGAGTTTAAATTATTGCGATTATAACCCTGTCGCATTTTTCGCAATAATAAAAACATCGCAATAATTTCTGAATTTACAGTAACTCAAATCTCCATAGCTTAAGAAATTTTTTATCTCCTCAATTAAAGATGTTTTGTTTTTTTTATGCAAATCAACAATCTATTGCAGGTATTGCAGATATAAATTTGTCCAATTTCCTCAGTATTTCTTAGAAATCAACTTCTTGGCACTTTCTGGTAAAGCTTAACTGTGGGACATGTTTTGGATTTGGCACTTATCAACTTTCTTGCACATGTAATACATGTGATGTATGTTGAAATGATCACACTTTATTCCATGTGACCCCTTCTTGTAGTTAATGTTTCTGAGTTTTTGGCATTAAGCTGAAATCAGTTAAGCAAATTATGTAAACATTTTCAGATTATCACTTATCTACTTCCTGTTTGTTGTAAATTTTTATGTCTTTACCATATAATACTGTGTTTTAAATATCCCATTTTTTCTTAACTGTTAATTATTTCTTCTTGATAATTTATACAAAACATGTTTAGCCTTTTCTTGTTTGATCAATTTTCTGATTACACTCTCTTCTAATTCTTATTTGTCTAGTATTTATTTGTCCTTTACATGAAATTTACATGCGTATTATGTTGTATTGGATTTACTCATTGTTGAAGGCCATACTGTGACCTATAGTCGTTAACTTCATACCACATCTTCTAATTTTTATATGTGTAAAGTTTTTGAACAGTTTATAATTTGGTACCAAGATTATTCTAAAAATGCTATTCTGTTTCAGAATATTGTTATACCCTTCCTTCATCTTATTCCTGTTTGCTAAATTCATATGAATAAAAGAAGATGTGGGGTATAATTCAATTAGACAGCAACCCAACCACACAAATAACCAAAAACACTTCAAGAGGGTAACAAACACTCTTTAAGGATGTTCGCTCCTCTTGTTTTTGAATTTTTGCCAGATTTTCGGAATCCTCTGGTTTTATCCATGTTTGGCCATTAAATAATTTTGTCCACTAACCCATACTTTTCTTTTCTTAATTTTATTACATATAGTTTAAAAAGCCATATTTGAAAATCTTATAAAATCCTTGTTATTTTTTCATTGTTTTTGAAAGAAAAAAGGTGCCAATGTTAAATGTATGAAAAACCTAGAGAGAATCATTTCCCGCCAAATTTTCAATGGCTTATATCTCGAAAACAAGCACACGGACCCTTCATTTTTTTCTGCTTTTTTAGTTCCTTCATTTATCAATTTTTAACAGTCTTTTAAAAAGCTTGTTATTTTGAATCAGAGTAGCAAACATCCTTAATAATAGACAGCTGTTGTCTATACAATATGTCAAGGTCTTAATCGTCTAACGTTTAAAAAAGTGGGAGGCTATTAAAGATTTGCCTTCGCTACTTAAATAACAAAGTTCATGTATTGATACATGTATTTTCTTTCTGTCAAGGGTAAATGTATATAGCTCACAACAGGTTATGTTTCTCAAGTATTGCATAAGATTGTATTGTGTACATCCGTTGCAGGTCCATTCTTTTTTTAATAGTTGCAGATGTTTCCGTTTAAAGATTTTATATTTTCATTTTGAAGCACTTCATTTAGATAAACTACTGTATATGAGCTGAAAGAAATTGTTTCTGTGACAAAAATAATAATTTCAAGCCTCTTTCTTATTATTTTTTACAAGTTTATTAATAACTCTGTGCTGATGAATACCTGTGTGCTTTGTAGAGAGTCCAAAGGTTGAAGAAACCAGCGTCAAGAAAACACCAGAAGAAATACGAGCTCTGTGGAGGAAAACAATTCTTCAAACTATGCTCCTTATAAGGATGGAGAAAGAAAAACAAGATCTTAAAGGTAAAAGAAAGTCTTTATATAAAGCTCACCAGAAATTCCTTGTATAATAGTTCGGGAATTTCTGATAAGGGTAGATATAATGCAAGAGGAGTTGTTTATATTACACAGTGCCCAAGTCTGATTCATTTTACATAAGGTTAAAGCCTTCCATAACTTATGCATTGCTTGACCCTTAGTGAACCTTTCACAGGTACCTTTTCATTAGTAAATTGTATAGACTTTCTCATGAATATTTATATCATCCTTTTTACGCCAAGAAAAAGATGGTAATGACTTAATTTAACCTCTATCTGTCCTTCAACTAGTCCATTGTTCTCACTTTACACATTTATGTCATGCTTGCTGATATTGTTCTGATAAGTATGTATTGTGACACAATACAGTTTTAAAATATGTTCCTTTTTATACATTTGATTGGAAGTACAGCCTTGAAATCTCTTTAAAAAAGCTGTACATTTCTAGGATATTTTGCCCACAAATGTTTACTCCATCATTCATCTGTACTTACTCATGATGATTGACACATTTTTTATTTCATTCTTGTTGATTATGACTCGTGTTCATGTTTAATAATAATGGGCTAGAAACTATGCCATTCATGATATATTAGAATAAACATTTTCCCTGAATTTGATGTCAGTTTGTCAATGGTCTATCACTATCCAGTCAACACTGAGGTTGTCAGTTCGAATTCCACACGGGGCAGGTGCACTCGACTCCAATCTTAATTGACTAGGATTGTCAGTTTTCCTACTGAAGGTCAGTGGTTCTCTCCGGGCACTCCGGCTTCCTCCATCAATAAAAACTGACCGCCATGAAATAGGACAATAGTGTTGAAAATGGTGGTAAACACCAATCAATCAATCAATCAATGGAGTATCTTCTGAGTTCATTCACTTTATTTGCTCTTTTACCTGTAGATAATCCTGCTGGTATGACATTATGACATATTTATTTTAGTTTGCCAATTTTCTTTTGTTTTATTTAAATGGGTGGTATTGTGTTTGGTTTCTTCAATGATTTCATTTGTTTAGCATTGGTCAATTTTGGGAAATCCTTGAGGTTTATATATCAGTAACATTTTTCTACTACAGTCAATTTATATAGTACAAAACTTTAATACATACAATACTAAAATAACCATGTTTTACAGTTTTTCATTAAGTGGATTTGATAAATAATATATTTAGGTCTATGCAACTGTTATCCAATTATATTTCAGAGGTACAATTCCCTTTACAATATCTGTTATAAAACATATTTTTAATAATATTAAATTACTTTTACCTATATTTCTCTCTTGACTGACTTTCCTGTGAAAATTAAGTTTTAAAATCAGGTCTAAATCTCATAAGCCTATAATGATATTCCAGTAATATCTCACTACAACATTTCACAAATATACTGGAGGCAAAACAATTTTGCAATCCATTTGTGTATGCCACTCGCATGAGTACAAAAATAATGTGAACATAAATTGTCCCAAACTTGTCTAAATAGCTATAGGATCATCCCTTTTATGAACATATTGACGTAGTACAAAAAAAATCACGTAAATAATTGCTCCAAAGTTAGGGTGATTGGGCTAATCACAAGAAGAATTTGGTTTTTCTGTAGTGTAAAAAGTTTCTGTTTCAGTCATCATTAAACACATATTTACACTTGGCCAGCTTTTATTTTATGTTTTACAATGGGGAACATATATAACATACACATAATGATATATTAATAATAATTGACTGCCATATTTTGATTATATTACATGATCCAGTAAATCATGGCCTGCGTTTTGCTGATATTAAGTTGCCTGTGCTTTGCTGAATTATGATTTTGGGTGCTTTTGTTCTTTGATTTTTGTCATGAACCTACACTTACCAAATAAATACCATGTGATGAGGAACCTATGATTATACAATGTGAATATATATCTTGGTTTAAGAGATTTTTTTGTTATTAATAAATGAACTGTTTTAATACTTCTAACTTGTGACAGAATTTGTCGACGGTTGAAATTTAAAAAAAAAAATTAAATCAGAACTGAAACCTTTGATATATGGATTAAAATTAATTTTACATAAACATTCATGATAGTACAGTTTAAATTGTTCAGTTTAAGATATTTTAATTGTCTATTAAAAGTTCAGGATAGGGTTATTGAAGTCATATCTGTATCCTTATACACTTGTTGGGCTTTTTTCTCGTAAAATTTGGACATAACATAACATGAATGATGCAATATTTAATGTTTATTCCAATGTATCCCAGGATTCTTTATTCTACACGGCATCAGATCAATGGTTGTTTTCCCAGGTAGGTACAACATAGTTTGAACTTCTCAGTTTCTTACTCCATTGGTTTTTTAACTACACACAGAAATAGTGTATGATTCATGCACATTTGCACATATTTTTAGGACAAAAAATTGTAATTTCAATATTATTTATTTCAGTTGAACTATATTTAGATGACGTTTTTCATGGTTTGTTTAAAAAAATTCACACCTTGGTTTAGCATTCCTTGCAAATCTGATGCAAAGATAAATCACACTTACAAAATTCCCATTCACATTGTTCATTTCACTGTGTTGAAAGAATACTGGATCCACTTTTTCCTGTCTTAAGTAAAAACTAGATGAGGATTTCGCTCCAATACCATCCAGTTATAGGGCACTATGCAGCTTTGTGTAAACTAGAATTTAAAACCAATGTGTTTTTTGTTTTAAAATAAATTTAACCCCTCACATTCAAACCAATAGCACTTTTTATTGCTCACTATAATTTCATGTTACAAACAATAAATAAGGTTTAAAATCTGTTTAAGAATGTTTTTATATTATAGGTTTATGTGTAAAAATATCATGCCAACCCATTTTGAATAATATTATCATTATAGAGAAGACAAAAAAAAATATATTTAAACAAATTTCATGAATAATTTTAGAAAATTAGAAAAGGACTTTAGACTTTGAAGGGATCCCTCCTATAGTCATTTCAGTCATTATTTCGACCTGTAGAAGGCTGGAAAGTTATATAAGATTAATACATTTATCATTACGCAGTGTGCAAGTCTTAACTTTGGTCTGTAAAGGCATAAACATAATGGTCACTTAGAACTCAACCATATATAATGGAAGTATTATTTTTGTAGTGAATTCAAACAGTTTCATTTTTATACTTTCAACAGCTCGACAACATGATGAATCCCAACAGAAACCCGACTTAGATTATGAGGAGATAACTCCCTGTCTTAAGGAAGTTACATTACAGTGGGAAGAAATGTTGACAGAAGAAGATCGGGATACAAGATTTAGTCCTCAGGTTGTCCTAGACTGTGTTAGAAAAGGTAAGACTGCATTGCAATCTACTATCAATAGAAAATTGTAATGCAAGATTGAGTGCACTGCAATCTACTGTTAAGAGAAGCAAACTGTGATGCAAAATTTAGTTCATAAGTTGCCGACTGTAAATGTTTAAAAAAGTGTGACATTGCAATTTACTGTGTCCATAGGGCGCTATGCCCCTCACAATATCAAATTCCATGGTCAGTTAACTGTAAAAATTGGGTTAAAATCTTTTATGTTAATGTAACCACAACTTATAGCAAACTACCTTAAACTAAAACTTGAACGTCATACAGGACACACAGATAAACTTACTAACAGACACACCAACAAGAAAAGAAAATACCCCACTGCTGTATTAGATTTTGCTTAAAAAAAACCAAAGTGAATTATTGATCAAATGAACTGGAGAAATTTAGAGATGCAAATGGAAAATATGTCCCTGGCAGATCATAAAAAAATTGATAATGATGTTATAAATGATTTAATATACTAAACATTCAATGGAAAGCAAACTATGCAGAAAACATTGAATTCCCTGTCTTTTGACCATAAATTCTCTGTTAAAATTCTTTAAATTTAACAGATTTTTGGGTTTATGCTTTGTACATAATTATTAACTATTTACACACCCTGATTTTGCAATAATAAAATACCTGATATTAAGAGACTGAGTAAACTACTAACCTTATCCAAGCAGAAAGCTTCTGCCACATTCCAATAGGTTGTGTTTTTGGCATATTTGCATGTGACCAAAGTCTTTAACTCTTTAGATATTTTGAAATAAGTTGTACATGTAAATATTGCTCATCAATATTTGGCCAGTCCGATTCAATTTTTATATGCAAGAGTAGATGCCAGGTCAATTAGGATGTCTATATTATAGGTGTACCTAAACAATTACGTGGTGAAATATGGTATCTGATGGTTGATCAACACAAGTTACATTATCCTTCCAAGAATGACATGTCTCCGTCCAGAGAATATCAAGATTTGTTAAAAGATCTGACTGAATACCAACACAATATACTCATAGATTTGGGTATGTAATATATTTAAGTCTAAGGAATTACGAATCTGTAGTATGGCTTTGTTGAATACCAGCATAGCAATTTTAGGGATAATTAACTGGTTGAAGATTTCAAAAGAAGCATAGTGTTATTCAAATTATCTGTTTCCAACATATTTCAAGATTTAACCAAACACCAAACAACAAAGTAAACTCATTGTAGTTCATTTGTAATGGTCTCATACAAAAGAATAAGAATACCAAAACATCACATTATAGATATAAGTATGTTGTAGTACACCTATCTCACAAGCAAGATTTGATAAAAGGTTTTAACTCGGTGTTAAAACAATACTACATACTAGGATAATGTACTATGTAACTTATTTCTGTTTATAGAAAAGAAAACTATTTAAAATTTTTAACAATGCCAAAGGCCAAATAAAAATAAATGTGTGGATCCATTTATCTGACTGACCCTACTATTTTTTTGCATTTCTGAAAAATAAATTTGAAACGATCCCATTTTTAGCTCACCTGGCCCAAAGGGCCAAGTGAGCTTTTCTCATCACTTGGCGTCCGTCGTCCGTAAACTTTTACAAAAATCTTCTCCTCTGAAACTACTGGGCCAAATTTAACCAAACTTGGCCAATATCATCATTAGGGTATCTAGTTTAAAAAATGTGTCCATTGACCCGGCCAACTAACCAAGATGGCCGCCATGGCTAAAAATAGAACATAGGGATAAAATGTAGATTTTGGCTTATATCTCTGAAACCAAAGCATTGAGAGCAAATCTGACAAAGGGTAAAAATGTTTATTAGCTCAAGATCTATCTGCCCTGAAATTTTCAGATGAATCGGACAACCCGTTGTTAGGTTGCTGCCCCTGAATTAGTAATTTTAAGGAAATTTTGCCTTATTTGGTTATTATCTTGAATATTATTATAGATAGAGATAAACTGTAAACAGCAATAATGTTCAGCAAAGTAAGTTCTACAAATAAGTCAACATGACCAAAATGGTCAGTTGACCCCTTAAGGAGTTATTGCTCTTTTATAGTAAATTTTTAACAATTTTTCGTAAATTTTTGTTATCTTTTACAAAAATCTTCTCCTCTGAAACTACTAAGATGAATTTAACTAAAGTTGTAAACAATCATCATTAGGGTATGTAGTTTAAAAATTGTGTTTGATGACCCCGCCCTCAAACCAAGATGGCCGACATGGCTAATAATAGTACATAGGGTAAAATGCAGTTTTTGGCTCATATATCTAAACCCAAAGCATTTCTAGCAAATCTTTCAAAAACAAAATTGTTCATTAGGTCAAGATCTATCTGCCCTTAAATTTTCAGACCATTCAGGCAACCTGTTGTTGGGTTGCTGCCCCTGAATTGGTAATTTTTAGAAATTTTTTCAGCTTTTGGTTATTATCTTGAATATTATTATAGATAGAGATAAACTGTAAAGAGCAATAATGTACAGCAAAGTAAGACCTACAAATAAGTCACATGACCAAAATGGTCAATTGACCCCTTAAGGAGTTATTGCCCTTTATAATAAATTTTTAACAATTTTCATAAATTTTGTAAATTTTTACAAAATAATTTCCACTGAAACTACAGGGCCAAGTTCATTATAGATAGAGATAATTGTAAGCATCAAGAATGTTCAGTAAAGTAAGATCTACAAACACATCACCATCACCGAAACACAATTTTATCATGAATCCACCTGTGTCCTTTGTTTAATATGCACATAGACCAAGGTGAGCGACACAGGCTCTTTAGAGCCTCTAGTTTGGAATGTGAACTTCAATAATTAAATTCACAGACTTCTGTCATCTGAATTTCCATTAGAAGTATCCACTATGGCAAAAAATGCAACAAAATAAACTAAAAACGCAACATGTTATTTTATTTTACAGCCAAACATCTGGTAGGGCTTGTATAGTACCGGAACAGGACGTGGTGAAAACACGATTTTTTTTTTATTTAAGGAAAATGCCTACCTATCGACCCTTTTTTTTCAAGTCGTAACTGGAACCACATATAATAATTTTTTTGACCTAACAAAAAAGGATGTTTTTTTAACCTATGACACTGTCAAAGAAATAAATGGAAACTGAAATCTTGTGAAAACTGCATATTCATGAATATAAATTTTGTTTTAGGAAGAACATTTCCAGAACATAAGTATTTCTCCACACAGTTAGGTCAAGGTCAGCTGGCACTATACAACCTGCTAAAGGCCTATAGTCTACTGGATAGAGAAGTGGGCTACTGTCAGGGACTTAGTTTTATAGCAGGGATACTCCTCATGCATGTAAGATCTCAAGTGTTATACCACACACCAACTGGTATACCCAACATACACATACATGTAGATCTTTATACACCCTTATAAAGGCTTATTGTTATCTAGAAAATCAGGTTAGTTTCAAGGAACTCAGTTTTATAGCAGGAATGCTGATCATGCATGTAAGATCACAAGTCTTATACAACACACCAACTGGTATACCCAACATACACATACATGTAGATCTGTATACACCCTTATAAAGGCTTATTGTTATCTAGAAAATCAGGTTAGTTTCAAGGAACTCAAGTTTTATAGCAGGAATGCTCCTTATGCATGTAAGATTTCATAGATCTGTAAACACCCTAATAAGGGCGTAGTGTCTGCTCAAAAATCAGGTTACTCAGTTTTATAGCAGGAATATTCCTCTTGAATGTAAGATCATTATTGTAATAACTCCACAAGCAGATACATGGGGTGGATGTACAAGAAACAATAAGCCATGGATATACTTGAAAAACTTGTATGCTAACAATGGCTGCAAACAATTAAACAGTGTATACTGTATATTATAGTAAAACTCATTGTAGACTGATTATTTTTCATAAACAGACAAGTGATATCACAATACTCTTTTTCACAATTATGATTTTTTTTTTCTCAGATGGATGAGACCTCAGCATTTGAAACCTTACGTCACATGATGTTTAACTTAGGTCTGAGAAAACAGTTCCATCCAAGTATGATGCCTCTACAGGTATGTATAGCTTGTTTACAAATCTTATTGTTATATTTTATCTTTGCATGATAAGGGCTGTTCCATTAAAACTTACATGGTACCTAGGGAAGGCACTTTAAAAATGGGGTAACCACCTATAGAGGCAAATTAAAATTTCACTTACATTTCCACAATACAAAAACATAGATGACACCCATCCATAGTTGAGATTTGGAAGTGCCTTCCCCAGGGTTCCATGTATGTTTTTATGGAACACCCCTAATATATTTGAAATTATTAAAAATAACTGTATAAAGGATACTAATGCTGATATTACTTTTAGTTTGTGTAATATAATAAATACTTTTAGATTGGTCTAAAGAATGTATTTGAAAATTTTGTTAATATAAAGATCAATCTATAAATTCCAAAATCGTCAGAATTAGATTTTTGTCGAGCCTGCAACATTTATGTCGCAAAAGCGAGACATAGCGAACCTAGATTCCGTCGGCAGTATCAACATTTAGGTTCAGTCTGTGGTTAAAGTGTTTTTAGACATTGATAACTTTGTCAAACCTGCATGGAATTTTAGGAAATTCGGACAGAAGCTTGTTTATGACCAAAATACAGTATCATACAGAGCAAAATTTTGAAAATGTTCATTTTTATTTTTTCATATTTTACTGATAAAAGAACTTAGTTTTTTTTTTACAAATAAACATTCAGATTCAGTCTGAGGTTAAAGTTTTTCAGTCATCAATAGCTTTGTCAAACCTTCATGGAATTTAATGAAACTTGGACTTAGACTTAGTTTTTTACAGTTAACATTTACAGACAGTCTGGGATTAATTTTTTTGACATGATAAATTTGTAAACCTTTGTCGATTGTTATGAAACTTGGACAGAAGCTAATCTTCAATACCAAGAAATAGCATATAAAGAAATTTAAATTAATTTTTTTAAAAATTGCTGTATTTTACTGATAAATGGACTCACTTTTTAAAAAAGTCAATATTACACTTTTACACTGACAGCAGCAATAGCAGGCGAGACACTGGGTTCTGCGGAACCCCTTACAAATTTTTATTTTAAGCTTTGTTTAATTTAACAAACAAAACTATCTTATTTGTTAAGATGATTATGTAAATCAAAAATAAAAAAACTTCCTTCAGACTGTTTTCCAAAAAATAAATGTGTGTCTTTAAAGTCATTTTTCACTAACATATTCTATATTTAATTACTATTTCATCAGTATATTTCATTTAGGAAGACCTGTCTGAAACTCTGACCCACCATCAACTTCAAACATAAAAGCATTCTGGCTCCTTAATGGGATGGAAGCCAGTCTTATGCTATCATAATAGAATTTGACCAATTTTTTTTTCAAACCTTCCTTTGAAAATATTTCTTTAATTGTTCATGTACCATTACATTTTAGATACAGCTGTATCAGTTGACAAGACTGATCCATGATAACTACAGAGAATTACATGACCATTTTGAGGAGCATGAGATAGCGCCAAACTTGTATGCCACACCATGGTTTCTAACGCTGTTTGCTTCACAGTATCCTCTGGGATTTGTTGCCAGGGTTTTTGGTAAGTGTAGTCTTGTTTTAGTATCAATATGAGTAAAAGTGATTAGATTTCAATAATTTTGAATGAATACTTTTGATAGCTTTTTACACCTTAAATGGAGTAAAATTATCATATTTCAATGGGGATTTTTTTTTGGGGGGAGGGGGATCTTAAATTTTGGTTGAAAAAAGGTCAATTTTGAAAATACATTAATTTTACAAAAACATATTATATTGGTTTTATCTGTATGAATGAATGAATATCTCGAATTTAAAAAAAAGAAAGAAAAGATAAGTTCTATACACATATTAATGCTGTAGGCAATACTTTCATACAGTGATGTCTAACTTATCAATATGACATTGAAATCAATTTGATTAAGATGAGATACAAATAAACAAACTAAGTTAAATTTTTAAACTGTGTCAGATAAGATAACTCTATGCTTTTGATTTTTCACTAAGTAAGACATACATGTGTGGGACGTTCAGATATCATTAAATTATTCAATATATTGTAATTTGATAAAATTAAAAAGTAATGCTTTTACATAACAAAATAAAAAAGTTGTTTGAAATTTATGGTTTTTTTTTCAGATCTCATATTGATGCAGGGTGCTGAGGTAATTTTAAAGGTTGGCCTCCTGTTGCTTGGGAACCACAAAGAGTTAATTTTACAGTGCAATTCCTTTGAATCAATAGTAGAATTTATTAAGACAACATTGCCTGAATTGGGTATTATACAGATGGAAAGGATTATTATTCAGGTAATAAATAGCTTATTCTATAGCTACTGGTTCTGATTGACTGAGACTGAGGGAAAAGGAGCACTTTTTATACGACCGCAAATTTTAACTTGAGTATAAGTGTATGGATCTTTATTGAATTATACCACAAGTTTCCATACCACAAAAGGAAGGTTGGGATTGATTTGGGGGGTTATTGTCCTAACTGTTTAGGAATTAGAGGCCAAAACAAGCATTTTTCTTGTTTCAGGACAATAACTTGTGTATAAGTGTATGGATCTCTGTGAAATTGTACCACATGGTTCCATACCTCAAAAGGAAGGTTGGGATTGATTTTAGGGGTTATGGCCCAAACCATTTAGGAATTGGGGTTCAAAAAACAAGGATTTTCTTGTTTCTTGACAATAACTTGAGTATAAGTCTATCGATCTCTATGAAATTGTACCACAAGGTTCCATACCAAAAAAGAAGGTTGGCATTGATTCTGGGGGTGAAGGCCCTACCCGTTTAGGAATTCGGGGTCCAAAAACAATACTTTCCTAATAACTTGGGATTCTTTGATGTGCTGAATCTAAGCGTGCATTTAAATTTTTCCTATACTGTTATTTTACTTATTTGTGGGTTTCCCTTGTACATCCTTAATTGGTATTTTTCAGGTGTTTGAGTTAGATATTTCGAAGCAGCTTCAAGCATATGAAGTAGAATACCACGTCCTGAGAGAGGAAATGATCTACTCTCCTTCCTCAGGTGATACAGATAAAATAAAGAAACTAGAAGACATGAATCAACGACTAAAACAACAAAACAACGAGCTTCTGGAGAGACTACAAAACATGAACAGTCATCAACATAGCCTGGATATTGTTATACATAACACACAGACCAGTGAAACTAAGTTAAAATCACATATAAAGACATTAGAAATAGAAAGGAAAGCATTGTTAAATGCTATTATGAAACTAAGACAATTAATTCCTGAAGAACAGTTTCAAAAACTAGACATCTTGTTACCTCCCTTGTCACCTAGCTTACAGTCGTCTCCAATTCATCAGCCAAAAAATTTACGAATTGGTGGAAATTCTAGAGCTCATCATCATGTATCTAGAAGTAAAAGTTCACCACTGGCACATACACCTGAATAGATCTTGTATTGTTATAGCTGATTATAAAATACTGAACAAAAAGAGAGAAAAAGCAAATAAATACAATAAGAACAAATTCTAATTGATTAAAGTGAGGGCTATTTCAATAAAATCAATGTGGGAGGGTAGCATTGGAAGTTTTGATTTTGGACATCAGTTGTTGGACTTTGGAGGGGGATATTGGCAGTCCTATCCTACTCTCACATGTCAATTTTAATGGAAAAGCCCTCATGATATTGCACTATAACTTGATTATTGATATTTTAAATAGATATGATATTTATAATATTTATTTTTAAAAAAGTGGTGTTTGAAGATGTCCCTTAGAACACAATACTATACCAACCTATTGCTCTGTGTTCAGTATTTTGGAATTAGTTAATAATTAATTCATGTAGTTGTGATAGAATGCCAAAATGAATTTTAATTGAGATTTTTACAATACAATGCAATAGTCTATATATAATGTTTCATCAAATGACATTTACATGTTTATTATAAACATGAGATTTTTTATTTGTAAATTCAGTTAAGAATTGGTCAGTTTTAGTATAAACTGTATTATTAAGTTAATATGATACATTACTGTAATATTTTAGGTTAACTTCTGTTTTTCCTTTTTCATCCAACCTACATAAAATACTCTTATACTGTTCCCTTACAAAAAGATCATCTTATTTTTTGCCCCATCAACGATAGTAGAGTGTTTTATGTTTTCAAAGTCAGTGGAGTTTGTCTGTCCTGTATCAGTTTAAAGTTTTGGTTTACCATGAAATTTTGGTCACATCAACTTTAAATTTAGTACACATCGTCATTGTGATGTGAACTTTTCAAATATATACCATATTAAGATTTTGTACCAGATTTCATGGTTCACTGATCAGTTTAGAGGTTTAGTGTAAGTTAGTTAACCATGAAGTTTTATTTACACCAAGTTGAATCTTAGTACACGGGATCATGAGCTTTTAAAAATATATGCCAAATTAGGGTTTAAACCAAGACTCCATGGTTCACTGAACATGGAAATTGGATAAAAAGAGCAGGGCATTTTGTCCTTATGGACATATTCTTGTTAAGTCTGTAATATTCATACATGAATGTTAAATTGAATAAAGGAGGTGTGAGGTAAAGGTCAGCTTAAGTTAAATAAACCCAGCTTCATGTCTTAACCCATTAGGTCTCTGAAATGTAATGATAGAAAATCGAGTCAAGAATTCCTTTCGTTTAAAACAATGAAATTGTATTGTGCCATACAAAATATAAATCTGCTGATAACCTTAATCAAAACCTGCAATGAACTTTATATTGGTTGTAGTGATTTTAGAAGTAAATCTTGTTATCTTATGTTAATTAAGCAGATGTATTTTTTATTTTATGCTGAGAAATATAGAAGTCTTTCAAATCCTGTCCAATGAGAAACCATTTATTATTTCAAACTTAAAGTAGCAAAAGAGGAATTATTGTAAAAAGATATTGTATTATGAAATAATTGTACAGTATTGTAGGGTAGTTTATTAAATTTGTTTTTAATAAAAGGAAATAGGGTAATTAGAAAGAAAACTTTAATTGATTTTTACATACTTGAAACTATTGTCAAAAATAATTGTTTGTAAAAATGTTAAACTTGGTAGAGATGATTCCAACTTGATGACAGATTATACCACATATTTTGTGTATCAACTTTTCCATTAGGAGACAAAATCATTGTGTATTTTTTGTGTATTTTTTTTTACATCTTTAATGAAACTACAGGGTTAATTAGAATTGAACTCTATCTGGATTATCATTGGATATTCCATTTTCATAGAAATATGTATAAGTGAATTAACTCATCCATTCCACCCTATTTTTAACCAGAACCTCTGATATAGAATATGGCTACATTGAATGGAAAAACATATTGAACAAATATACAATGGATGTATATCTTTCTAAATTATATAATAAGAAGATGTGGTATGATTGCCAATGAGACAACTCTCCACCAGAGACCAAATGACACATGAATAATATCCATTTCAACAATCTGTCATTGTGATAAAGATGTCATAGTGCATGATCAGCTTCTGATTTAATTTCTTCTACATGCACTTGCTAATCTTGGCCAGGTCATATATTTATTGGTATAGCCTTGTATACTTTCATGTAAACCATTTGTGTATTTATAACAGTATTCTATTTTAAATGTCACAAATACAAATAGTTATGGGTAAGGGTAAAAATGTTAGTTTTAACACTGAGCTTTTGATATGATTTATTTATTGACTGTAAATAAACTATTTTTATTGAACAAAGGGTCTATTACCTCAACTATATGTTTGTCTCAGAAAGATCTCTTAATTTGTGAGATTATATTTATATGTAGAACATATCATTTTCAAAGATCTTAACATGCATCAGGATCAGTGTTTTATATAACACATATATAGTCTGGTAAGGCCTTACAAAAATATTTGCTTCTCAGACCAATTAAAACAATTTTTGATGAGGCAGTGGTGGTTTTTTTTTTTAAAGGTTCAGCTGAAACTACCTTGAATGACACCAAAGATGATGCAAACTTTGTGATATGTTTTTCAATATATTGGATATTGTGTAACCTTTTACAAAAAAGTTTCCCTGATCAAGGTCATAATTTGTAATATTGGAACAGTACAGGAATTTGGAATGAAGAATTTCCAGATTTTGTAGTTTAAAAAAAAAAATAAAGTCAACCTCACTAGAATTTGTAAAACACAACAGTGACTGAGAAGTTAATAATATTTTGTAGGCCTAAAAGATCTCATCATAGTCACAGTTTCAATAAATTCTCATGGTTTAAATTTGTACCTACTACTTAATCATTGTCTTCATAATGAATACATTATACTACAATACATCAATTGCAGGAGATTTTTGTATGAAATAAGACGTGTTACAATTAAAGTTACAAAATCATGATTGGTCAGTAGCAAAAATACCTGACCACAAGTATTCAAATCTTATCAAATCATAAATATTATTTGTAGGTTTAATTATTTTCTTTATCTCAGGAAGATCTCATTTTCACAATTAATTTTCAAGGGGCATTTAAAGGTGTCTGTAAAGACTCTGGAGTAAAGGGATGTTATCAAAAGTCATCTGAACAGATGAAAGGGTATGCTGTAATTTTAGTTATTAGGTGATAGGGGCTTGAAAATTCAGTTCACTGTGCATAATAATTTGAACAAAATATTTGGTAAAACATGAGTCAATATATATATATTATATATATGTATTTAGTATCTTTATTCATGATATGTATTATGTGAAATATTTCATCTTGGCTTCATGTCATATATATAATGTTTTAGTTGACTGTTAGTAAGGATCAACCTTACAATGAAGAGGTTATTCATATACAAGTGACAGTGAGGCTTTTTGTTGCATACTATTAGTTGCTTCTCACCAATTCCAGTCAGCATGAATTAGGATTTTTTCAGCTCATTTAATATGGAAATTGAATTATAAGCTTTGATTTGCATATTTATATCCATTTTCAATCTAGCATGATAAAGGTTTTGTTCAGTGTTATTTTATGGGAATTGAGTTATAATCTTTATACATATCAATTTCCATTTTCCATTACGATGCTTTAACATTTGAGAATGAATATACATATATACAAATAACACTGCTTGAATTATTTCACAAAAAAAAATATATTTATAGTTACAGATTAAATGATCAGATCTATTAATAATAACCATATCAGTTAAGGTATGGTTTCATCAGTAGTGTAAAAAAAAAATGAAGAAGATAAATTAAGAAGAAACTTTCCATTAAGGGAAACACCTTTTTACAACATGTGTGTCTTGCATACAAAATTATAAGCCTGTTATCTTTGATGACGTTTTTTTTATCTTTAAGGTCTTTATATGTACAATGCAGGACATGATATTTATTTCTTCTTGTTTTCTTTGAAACTACATTTTGGAAGAAAAAAAATAGCTAAATAAAGTATATTCTAAGAAGCAGATATAAACAGGACATACAATATTCCGTCATTTTACGTTCATTTCTCAATTGAAGCATTTCAGAAAAAATATTCACAAAATATTGTTTAAACCCTATTTAAGTAGTAGTATGATATGGGGTAAGGGCCATATGAAATCAGTATTTATTGGGTTTTGCCATTTCATGACAATCTTAATTATTTAAAAGATGTTTTCTAGTCTTTAACAACATCTTGTCACAGTTTTTTTTTTTTTTTAGAATTGTGTATTCAATTTGTCATAAAATTCTCTTTCCAATTTATCTATGCATTAAGAAAAGTTTGATTAAGTATTTCAATAGAAATATAAATGATAGCACTAGTGGATTATTGCTAGTGAAAATATGAGAAAGGAACATTCATCATATCACATCAAAACTTTTCCTTTGTGATGTGTATCCTTTGGGGGAAACAAACTCTAATAATTTTTTCCATGGTAACAACCTTGTTACAAAATGTGCTCAATTCTGATCTTTATTTTTCAAATAAAACCAACCTTAAGGATTTACTCAGGTCAGGTTTATGAATTTTTGAGATGTTCGGACTTCTTTAGTTTTTTCCTACAATACAAGGTTAAATATTTTGCCCCATATCACCCATATTTCTTTTCATAGAAGACTTCAATAGCTCATTAAAAGGTCATTACCAAAATTTAACCAGATTCTAGATTTTTTTTCTTAGACCATTTTTAAAAAATCAAATATTGCAAAAAGGAGTTCCATAACCTATCAATATTTTTAGCTTATTTTGTTCCTTTACTAACGCTCTTCTGACTTATAGTATCAATTTTAAATTTTAGATTTTTATGCCCCACCTACGATAGTAGAGGGGCATTATTTTTTTTTCGGTCTGTTCGTCCGTTCGTTCGTCTGTCCCGCTTCAGGTTAAAGTTTTTGGTCAAGGTAGTTTTTGATGAAGTTAAATTCCAATCAACTGGAAACTTAGTACACATGTTCCCTATGATATGATCTTTCTAATTTTATTGCCAAATTAGTTTTTTGACCCCAATTTCACAGTCCACTTAACATAGAAAATGATAGTGCGAGTGGGGCATCCGTGTACTATGGACACATTCTTGTTTTAATTTCACCTAACTACATCCTTAAGGTGACTGATAATTTGAATTTCATGTGAATTTTTTATCCACATTTAATTTTTATTCCTGATTACCTAATTATTGAATACATTGTGTTATAAATTGTATAAAGATTCAGATGTAGGGAAAAACATTTTATAATTCAATAAATTTTATATACTGCATCTGTTGAAGTCAAATACAGATGCCTGTTCACTGAGAATCTGTCAGTTAACCCACAGAAACCAGACAATATATGTTCCAATCAGAACTAAAGACCAAAAGTCAATTCTCAATAGGTAATCATTATTAGGATACTATGATACTACAGCCTGAAATTAGTATATGATTGTTTAGTGGATAAAAAACCAAATTTGAACTGCAACACTTCAAAATGTGTTTGTTAGTTCTTCTCACAAGAAAGAAACTTGAACTGATAACACTTAAATACATTTTCTTTTGTACATTGTATTTAGTATTTTGCATTGCATTAGAGCTGAGCTCTATGACTATAATTAACAGTTTTATTTAATACATGATGACTATAGAGTATTAGATAGTGCACAATTTTGAAATTATTTGTTGATATTGTTTTTCTTTTGTTATTGCTTATTTTTTCCCTTATATTTGATTTTTAATTATGTATAGAAAAGTAAGATGGAAGTAATGAATTGATTTATTTGTTGTCGATAGCAAAAAATGAAATAAATTTTTAAAATACAAATCTGTTTCAATTTTTTTTTTTTTCAGGTAAATAACTTGAAATAGTTTCTATTTAATTATTTATATGGTATTGTCAGGGTAACTAACAAGGAAAACTTTTAAGATTTTTCAATATTGTTGGCATCAGGATTTCCAATCCGTTTGTCCATTTATCTGTCCATTATAAGGTTAAAGGCAGTTTACCATTAAGTTGTGTGTAACTTAGTATCTGGATTAGGCACATTTGCACAAGTTGAAACCCATGGTAATAGGTGCTATAAAAATAAAATAAAGTAGGAATGGCATATACCCCAATGAGACAGCAACTCAATAACTTCAAAAATCAAAAGACATCTATAAGTCAGTTAATGAATCTGTGCACTTTACCGTAAATTTCCTATGTCGCAATGCTTTTGAAACTACGTCACAATAAGAACCGATTGTTCTATGATATTGTTAACGCCAATTGACCTTAAGTCAACCAGTTTAACTCATTCATGAAAAACAACTGGAAATTGGTGTATAGTGATGAAGCACATGTTTAGCTCACTGACCCGAAAGGCCAATTTGAGATATTGCCATCACTTGGCATTTGTCATCTGTCATCACAGGTCTTCATTAACTTGTACAAAAATCTCTGAAAGTACTGGACCAATTGGTACTTTTATAGTTTGTGTGCAATCATCATTGTGGTATCTAGTAAAAAATATGTTTCTGATGATTTTGCTCGTCAACAAACATGGTCTACAAATAAGTCAACACGGCTGAAATCATCAGAAGACTCCTGACAAAACTATAGTAGATAAAGAAAACCTGTAAAATGATCAGCAAGACAAGATCTATTAATAAGTCAACAAGGCCGAATTCATCAATGGACTCATGCCAATACTTAATAGTAGATAAAGACAAACTGTAAACCACAAAATGAGCAGCAAGGCAAGATCTACAAATGGGTTGGCATAGCCAATTTTTTTTCAGTAAACTTAGGAGTTATTGCCAGTATATGATGATTTTTACTTATGTTTGCATCTTTGGGGGAAATTATAGTAGACAAATGAAAACTGTAAATTGTTTTAGAAAAAAATGTTCAGCAAGACAAGAACTACAAATTATGGGTATCAGCCTTAATTGTCAGTTGACTCCTTATATGAGTAATTTTTCTTAATGTCTATTTTTTTTACCTTTTTTATACGACTGCAAAATATTTGCGTTCGTATAATACCATCATGTTGTCGTCGGCGTTCGAAGAAACATTTGGTTTACGGACAATAACTTTAGTTTAAGTGAATGGATCTCTATGAAATTTTACCAGAAGGTTCAATACCACAAAATGAAGGTTGGGATTGATTTTGGGGGTTATGGTACCGACAGTTTAGGAATTGGGGGCCAAAAACAAGCATTTTTCTAGTTTCCAGACAATAATTTGTGTTAAAGTTTATGGAACACTCTGAAATTGTACATTTTTCCTGAAAAGAAAATAATTTTCATAATTTCCAAAATTAATCAATTGAAAATAAATACAAAACTTTTAACCAATTTCAATGGGATTAACTTAAGTCTTTAATTTTTTGGGGTTCTAACCTTGTATTACTATATTGGATATTAGGACCCATTTTTAAATTGGTCTACATTGAGGTCCAAAGGGTCCAATTGGTCCAAAATTAAACTTTGTTTGATTTCATCAAAAACTGAATTATTGCGGCTCTATGATATGCTGAATCTTATTGTGCATTTAGATTTTTTATTCAAATTTTCAAATTAGTCCATATTAAGGTTTGAAGGGTCCAAAATTAAACTTTGTTTGATTTCAACTAAAATTAAATTTTTGGTGTTTTTTATATGCTGAATCTAACCATGTTGTTAGAATTCTAATATCGGACCATACTAGGTAAATTAAATGTCCAATTTCAAATTTTTAAGATCTTTGACCATATTTATTTTGTGTCAGAAACCTATATTATGTCAAAAATTTGATCACAATCCAAATTCAGACAGTATCAAGCTTGAATATTGTGTCCAAACTTGTCCCAACTGTCCAGGGTTCGACCTCTGCTGTCGTATCAGGCTGCACTCGGCGAAGCATTTTATTATGTTTTGTAAACAATGTTGATGGAGAGAAACAGCTAAAAATTATCCGCAAGACAAGATCATCTACAGTCAACAAATCGGAAATTGTCAGTAATCTTTTAACATGAGTTCTTACCCTCAAATGACGAGTTTTACCCATTTTTGTTTAAACTTGTTATAAAAAGAGGGAAAAGTAAGTTTACTGCTTTTAAAATTGCAATTAAAATTATCTAAAAATCCGGTATAAACATGAAAAAAACGCTTTATAAATTGCATGCGTATAAGGTGGGCTAAGTTATAGGTAATGCATTTTAAGGTTTTCTTGTACCGGGTATAACACACCGAGGGGTGTCGGGATGAAATGACAGACCGATGTAGGGAGGTCTTTCTTTGGTCAATCCTGACACCCAAAGGTGTGTTTACATTTCATTGAAACCTGATACGGTCCGGGCTTGTTCTTAAAAGATAAAAGACCTATCGTTCTGAAAGGATATAACTTAATATAGGTATATAATTGCTTCTAAACTAACAGGTTAAGGAATATTGATAATTAAGGAATAGATATTCCGCAAGCATAGCCCTGATTCATTGTCTGAATTTGGATATACTTTAGGTGTTTTTCTGTTATATCAGCTCATCAATGTATATATATGTTAGGATCTGGGTTTTCAAATATTTTGACCTCGAGCATCACTGAAGAGACTATAATTGCCGAAATGCACATCTGGTGCAGTAATATTTTTACCGTTTATGTTATCATTACCCGTGACTGTGTCGATACTTCAGCTGGTGGATTGTTAGTTCCCGATGGTATCACCAGCCCAGTAGCCACTACTTCAGTACTGGCATGAAAATGCGGATATTATCTTAATGAAATTTGCTGTTATAAAATTATTTTAAATTAAGGAGGAATAGATCTCCTTCATGCATAGCCCGGATTCCTTGTCCGAATTGGGATATTCTATTTGACCCATTTTGGTTTTATCAACATATGTTTTAGTTCTGAATCTTTAAATATTTTGGCCATGAGCATCACTAAAGATACATTAATTGTCGAAATGCGTATCTTGTGCAGTAAAATAAGTGCAGTTTATATTATTTTTAAGTTTTGCATAGATCAGCTGATTGGCAATTCCTGGGAGAGGAAATAAATGATAATGATCTTAATGATCACCAGAATCTAGAAAAATTTAATCCGTTGATACATTCAGCCGGAAAATAGCATTTCTTCTTTTTCATCTTTAATTTTGTTCTTTTGTATTCATACACCATTCCATTTGTGTCAGCATGTGTGGTGATAGTTATTTTTTCTCCTGTTGAAAACAAATAATAATTGATATGTTCTTAATACCAGTTTCACTAGATCAATAAAATTGAGAATGGAAATGGGGAATGTGTCAAAGAGACAACAACCCGACCACAGAACAGACAACATGCATTAGTCCAACTTTTTTATTAGACGACGGAATCAATTTGAAATCCAAAGGATTAAACTCAAATGTAGCATATTAAAAGCAACAACGCGGAAACGTGAATGTATAGTCCAAAGAATCAGTCGATGTAAAGATTTAGTGTCTATGTACATGTCTTCAAACATAAAGCTGCATTTAAGAATGAAGAGGGATTTTTGGTGAGAAATATAATATGTATTATCAGTTATCCAGTTCTAGTTTATCTTTATCACATTTAAACTGATGTTCCTCAATAAAAATGTGTAAATAATCATGTACTTTTAATATTATCAATCATTCGGTTCCCTACTGACCGACTTGCTTTTCGTGATCATATGAAGCAAAATTCATTCAAAACCTTTTCAAAGACAAAAAGAAAACCATTTTCTCAACTCACAAATTGAGATTACTAACGGTGCGTTAGCGTTGCCTGTCATGAAACTTGTCAAATCAAAAATCTAGCAATGATAACTTTAAAACTAAAAAAATCAACAAACTACTAAAAAATTTAAATACTTCAAAATCACCAGGACCAGACCAGGTACATCCAAAAGTATTATTTGAACTAGCTGATATAATAGATGCCCCACTATGCATGATTTTCAACGGCTCATTTAAAACAGGTACGGTACCGAAAGATTGGAAAATTGGCCAAATCACAGCTCTCTTTAAGAAAGGTGACAAAAAACTAGCTTCAAATTACAGACCCGTTAGCCTGACTAGTATTATATGCAAACTGATGGAGAAACTCGTAGACCATATGAACCGTTATAACCTTTTTAGTGATAGACAATTTGGTTTTATTGGAGGAAGATCAACCTCATTACAATTATTAAAAGTCCTAGATCACTGGACCAGATAGTGGTGGATCAATTGATGCAGTTTATACTGATTTTATGAAGGCGTTTGACAAAGTCCCGCATAGACGACTTATCAACAAACTTAGATCATATGGTATGAGCTTACAAACATGTAATTGGATCAAGAACTTTCTGAGCGACCGCCAACAAAGAGTACAAATTAAGGGAAATTTTTCAAAATGGCACGATGTTACTAGTGGTATTCCACAAGGATCAGTTTTGGGACCAATCCTGTTTGTTATCTTTATTAACGATTTGCCGTCATGTGCAGAGTCTGATGTATACATGTTTGCAGATGACACTAAACTATATAGAGCTATAAACAACGAAATTGACAACACCATAATGCAAAATGACATAAATAGTATGTTCAAATGGAGTGAAAAATGACTATTACGTTTCCATCCAGACAAATGTAAAGTACTTCCAATTTCTACCAAATCAAATTATGGGCAAGATAGCATGTATAAAATGTCGACATACGATGGATCTGAAATCACACTAGAAACAGTTCAATCAGAGAAAGATGTAGGAGTAACTATAGATTCAAAGCTAAAATTTGATAAACATATACAGACACAAGTCAACAAAGCAAACCAACTAGTTGGAATTATTAGAAGAACTTTTAAATATTTAGATTACAAAAGCTTCTGTCTACTATTTAAGGCATTAGCCCGTCCTCATCTTGAATATGCTAGTAGTGTATGAAACCCGCAATAAAAGAAAGATATCGAGACAATTGAAAACGTCCAACGTAGAGCAACAAAAATGTTACCTAACCTCAAAGATCTGTCATACGAAGAACGATTAAAAATTTTGAAAATTCCTACCTTAAAATTTAGAAGACTAAGAGACGACATGATAGAAACATACAAGATAACAACAGAGGTATATGACTCAAAAGTAACTGAAGGTTTATTCACTCGTAACACAAGCTCGACAACAAGAGGCAACTCGATGGAATTGGTAAAAAACAGAAGCAGATTGGACATAAGAAAATACTACTTTACAAACAGAGTAGTGGAAGTATGGAATAGCCTAGCGGACATCGTAGTGACAGCAAAGAATGTGAAGATTTTTGGAAATCGTCTAGACAAGCATTGGAAAGAACACCCAATGATATATAACTTTGACACTGAATATACCTATAACACCGGAAGTAGCACAAGTGTAGTTAGTGATGATGAATCAGAGCCAAATATAGAGGAGCAAACTGATCTCCTGCGTTTGGAAACACTTAGGTAGGTAGTGATAAAGCGCAAATGTCCATGCAAGAGAAAAAGCACAATTGCCCTTTGTTGAAAGGCGCAAATGTTCTAAAAGTTAAAGCGCTTATCTCCATAATAAAAAGTGCAAAAAAATTATGTCCTATTACAGCTCTTCTATAAAAGCATGCAAAGCAACCCTTTGATCAATTTGCTTGCTATGTTTGCTTGGATGTTTGCAAACAATAGGTAGGCGGAGTTTCAGTCTGTTTTGTATATACTGGAATTTGATTAGACAATAAAAATTGACTTGCAATGAAGTTAATGTTTATTGTCCAATCAAATTCCAGTATGTAATCAGACTGAAACAGACTACCTACCTTTTGTTTACAAACATCCAAACAAACATAGCAAGCAAGTCGATCAAAGGTTTGCTATGCATGCTTTTATAGAAGAGCTGTAAAAAGAGTAAACGTCCCGCGGCTAACAAATTAGTATTATGTTACATTAAAAATGAGAACATATAGAGAATTACATATTCAGGAAATAAGCACTTTAGTTTAAAAACGGATTAATGTCACTACAAGTGCATGAAAAGAACTGATAAAAACGAATTGAAAAGAATGTTTATATAACTGTTAATGTACATCCGGATTAATTGCGAAACTAGTATATGCAGAAATAGATATGTGAATTTTGAACGTTAAAAAACTCATCTTCAGTGACATTTTATAGACACTGACACAAAACACAAAGACATTTTTAAATCTTCTCTGTAATATTGTCTTTTTGTGAAAGAGAAAGTTCGACAAAATACAGTAAATTGGTGAAATTATTGCATTTAATGAAATTGTCATAAATTCATATTAAAAGCACAGCCGATTTATTTAAATTTAGAGTCCAAATTTCCGAAATAAAAAACACACAATTTTGATCGATTTTTCCGCTTTCACATATGGATAAGATAAATACGTTTGAAATAAGGCTCAAAGACAAATTCAAAGAAACCTCAAGAGTTAACTTATGTATAGAAATATGGTGATCCCTCGCTTGGTCCTATTCCACCCAAAAGTAAAACGCTTGCGTCCGTTTTGCTGTACAGGATGCCACGTCCGGTCTGAATGGGGGCGATAAATCCGATGCCTTGCGTAGAGAGAGTGCTATGGACGTTGCGCTCGGTGTTTGTACGGACGATATCCATTTTGATATAGATATTGAAAGCAATGCGTTGAATGTTCAGATCAATAGAAATATGGCCATTTTGTGTTGATTTCAGTATAATAGGTTTGCAAGTAGTTAAAAATAAGAAATAAAAATTAATATACCCCAATATTAACACTCGAGTACTCCATTTTTACGCAGAAGCGTAAAGTATTTAACAACTTTATCAATAATCATAAGATATGGTATCATCCAGCCTAAATACATAAAGCGGTTCTATTTTACGGGTACTCTATTTTTTGTACAAAACATTGGATCTGTATATCCTTCAGTAATTTCGGCACAGTCAGCGCAAACATAAAAGATGCCCAGTCAGAAAAATTCCAGTATGGTCTCAAAATTGCAACTTAGAACTTACTATAAAAACATAAAGCTTCGTCCTCAAAGAATTATGTCAGCTCAAGTTGTAAATTGTGTAACAAATCAGATGAATCAATTTAACCTGAGACTACTGTATAGTAGTCTCAGATTTAAAACTTTATTTTATTATGCGAAAAGTTAGAAGAAGTAAGACAACCACTGGTCTCAAAAATTATAAGAATGGGAAGTAAATTTCTAATACAAATACATCCCTACAGGTTGATCTTCTATCCGTTCTGTTATGTGGACATAGATGTAAACAGAAATGCTTTTGAAGTTTGACGACACCAGTAATATTTTCGAACCATTGTGTAGACAGTTAATATATAATTTACATAATAAACATTATGCTTTATTAGCTAGTTTTGATAACTTAGGCAGTAGAAAATCTAATTTCTGAATGCTAATAAGACCTTATATGAGTAGCTTTCATGGGTACACATGATCATAGAATCATTTAATTTTGTATTCAAAGAACTTCAGGAGCCTGTTATTCAGTGGCTTTCGTTTGTTGCTGTATGTCCTATTTGTTTTCCGTTAATTATTTTGTACATGTAAATTCAGGCCGTTAATTTTTTCGTTTGAATTGCTTTACATTTGTCATTTCGGGGCCTTTTATAGCTAACTATGCGGTATGGGTTTTGTTCATTGTTGAAGGCCGTACCATGACCTGTAGTTGTCAACTTCTATGTCATTTTGGTCTCTGGTGGAGAATTGTCTCATTGGCAATTATACCACATCTTCTTATTTTTATATTCAAGTTAAGTCTTTATTGCCGAAAGATTTTATCATTTTTGTCGAGCCTTCGACTTTTGTCGCAAAAGCGAGACATAGCGATCCTACTTTCCGTCGTCGTCCACAAATATTCACTTTGTGGTTAAAGTTTTTGAAATTTTAATAACTTTCTTAAACTATCCTGGATTTCTACCAAACTTGGACAGAAGCTTGTTATAATCATAAGATAGTATCCAGAAGTAAATTTTGTAAAAAAAAAAATCCTGTTTATCCGTATTTTACTTATAAATGGACTTAGTTTTTCTGCCAGTTAACATTACAATCACTCTGTGGTTAAAGTTTTAAAAATTTTAATACCTTTCTTAAACTATCCGGGAGTTGTACCAAACTTGGACAGAAGCTTGTTTATGATCAATTTAAGCTAGTAACTAGAAGGATATTTTGTAAAAATTTATTTCCTGTTTTTCCGTTTATTATTTATAAATGGACTTAGTTTTTCTTCAAGTTAACATTACATACAGTCTGCAGTTAAAGTTTTTAAAACATTTATTAGATTCATAAACCATCCTGGATTTTTACCAAACTCAGTTGCTTCCCATATTTCCTATAACACACAATTTTCTTATTTGCACATATATTCTACTTTTTTAGTTGCATAAATTATTTTGAAAAAAATTATAATTGCATCTTCTATTTACAAGCATTTTTATTGATGAATTAAGGGATAAATCATCAAGCAATGTAACAATTATCGGCTTCAAAGGCTTTATCATTTGTTCATTGATCTTCATTCAATAAATTTATGTTTCAACTCTTTTATATTTTATAAATCTATAGAATTGATTGCATACTGTATTCATTTTTTACAAGCATAACTTTTTTCATACATTTCAAACGTTTTACTTCATTAACTGTAAATCTATTATGTGCATTCCCATATCCCACTGAAAACATAGACAACAGCAAAAGTAGTCGAGACACTGGGTTCCGCGGAACCCTTACGGATTTGTTTTATCATAGTGATGGGTGGAAACTTTTATATGTATATATATATCAAGTGGTAATAGTTGTTTAAGTTTAACATATTATTGATATTGTGGCTTGACTTTCTCCGAGTGTTTGGAGGTGTGCCTTGATTGACAGAAATTCGATTATAGATTAAAGTAATCATGTATATCTAATGACGGAAACTCATATCAAGTCCGTTTTCATTTACAGTTTTACAAATTCATTAACCAATCAGAGCTTGTGCGCCATCTCTCAAATCATCCAAAAAAAGAAAACATAAACAATGTTGCCTTGTTGAAAAAGTCAGCTGAAGAATCATGTCTGCAGTATCAAGTAAAAAAGGTATAAAAGAGTAATAAATGACAAATCACTGACGGAACTCTCTGTGATTCAGAAAAATCCACAGGCACTTGTCGGGGTACAACGATAATTTACCCGAGAACTTCCAAAAACTTAATCACAGCAAAAAATTAAAAAAGCCTTTCAAGACGTCATAATTATTTGGACTACCAAAAACTCAGTATGAACCCGAGAACCGATAAATTATAACCGGACACTCGATTTTATATGGTGTAATACTGCTTTTTATATTGATACTTATGACTATAAATTTGAGATATTTGTCATTTTAATTTAATAATAAAGTTCGTGGTCTAGTGGTTAAGACCGATGGCTACAGTGCTGAAGGTCCCGAGTTCGATTCTCACTCTGGGTGCTCAAAATGTCAGTACATCAGAAGGATGATTTTCACCCTCTCACACACATTTCTGGTACCCAGACCGGAGTTTAAACTAGAATGGGTATTATGGGGCCTCGGTTGGTCAAAGTTGCTCCAGACTTTGACCTGGAGATCAATGATATCTCTTCTGTTTGTCTGTTCCCGCCGAGCAGCCCGGTGGTTCTCTCCGAGTACTTCGGCTTCCTCCACCATAATAACAGATCCGCCCTGTGTCCCAACACTCCCTGGTGTTGGGGTGGGGATTGTCCTTGTAAATATTGAACATTGTAAATACGTTAATTAGTGACACATCTCCATTAATCCCAATAGGGAGTGTACACGGATTCCACTATACCCTCCCAGCTCTCGAGGGGTGTTCCGTAAAGGGAGGGATCTACGTACATACATACAATAAAAGTACAATTTAAGTTCAGGAATTCAAAAATGTGTGTCTTGTATAAAGGATTTATATTACTATATAAATCCTTGCTTGTATAAAAGTTCCTTGTATAACAATATAGCATGGACTTACCCTCGTATTATGGGTTTTCATGCTATTTTAAATGCATTATAAAGTCACAATTTCCATTGAAAAAGCATGCAAAGTACGAATTCATATGACCTACGAAAACATATGATCATAAGATGCATGGGCATACCTTACGCAGTCCACGATCATGTTTCAATAATTACGTTCGCTAGAGTCTAGATCAGAACCTGCATAAAAGATGCACAAACCGAATCAATGAAGTTAAAATGTGCTTTTATTGAGTAAAAATGACATATATATATATATCACAAAATTATAGACTTTAGTATCTATAATAGCAGTATTACTCCATATACCAGAAAGTTTTCGGATAATATCTATTGGTTCTTGGGTTCATAGTGAGTTTTTGGGAGTTCTCGGGAAATCTTTGTACTACTTGTCTCGAAGTATAACTCTGACCTACAAATGTATTTCAGTGGTTGAATTAGACCGTTGGTTTTCCTGTTTGAATTGTTTTACACTAGTCATTTTGGGGCCCTTTATAGCTTGCTGTTCGGTGTGAGCCAAGGCTCTGTGTTGAAGGCCATACTTTGACCTATAATTTACTTTTTAAACATTGCGACTTGGATGGAGAGTTGTCTCATTAGCACTCATACCACATCTTCTTATTTCTATATTATATTGAGGTATATATATATATACAACATTTGTACGATGTAGGTAATTTTTAAGAGACAAGTACCTGTGGGCAAAATCGCTCAAAAGTCTGATGCCCTAGCGTTCTTGTCCAGATTAGGTCCAAAAGACTGGTAACATTATTTTAATTTAACAAAAAATCTGATGTTTAGGTAAACAACCCCATATATTTGTATATTAATTATTATTTAGGGTTCAGAAGGTGATAGTAGTAGAAAAAACATGTCAAACAATAATTTTTTCACAGTTTCTTAAAGAAACACATTTATGTTATTGAAAATTGGAATTGCTTGATGTATGTAACGGTGTAACCATTAATGGTGGGCAGTGAACATGTACATTTATGGTAAAAGAAAGCAAAAAGCACAAATGTTTTTCATAACACTAATCAACATGATTGCTTTGTCTCCTGAGAAAATAGTAGATACTTAATTTTCAATTAATACAGTGTATTGCATTGGTCAAAATTAATTTCAACTGTCCTATTTGACAAACATACTTTGGCATTTACTTGGCTGACCACATTTTTTTCAATTTGAAGTGTTTTTTACAAGTTTTTTTTAAAAAGTTTATTCATTTATACACAAAGTACTGCTTTTACTGCTTGCAGATGAATATTTACAGAAATTTCAAAGGTATAAAGATGAAAAAGAAAGACAGAAGAAAGATCAAAGGTATTAGATTTTTATCACACACATTTTTTTATATTTAGAAGGGGACCTAGAAAAATCACAAATCTTTAAAGGGCTGACTTTTAAAGAATTATACTTGTGACATACATGTACCAAGGGAGATGATTTGTAAATACAAGTAGTTTAATAAGTTTTCCAGACTTAGTCAGGCTCATATCATGCTATTACTATATGCATACTGTCTACAAATAAGTTATCCAGACTTAGTCAGGCTCATATCATGCTATTACTATATGCATACTGTCTACCAATAAGTTTTCCAGACTTAGTCAAACTCATATCATGCTATTACTATATACATACTGTCTACAAATAAGTTGTCCAGACTTAGTCAGACTCATATCATGTTATTACTATATGCATATATACTGTCTACAAATAAGTTGTCCAGACTTAGTCAGGCTCATATCATGCTATTACTATATGCATACTGTCTACAAAGAAATTGTTGGACACAATGCCTACCTTTTTTACTTTGATGACCTTGTCCTTCTGGGAAAAAGTTAATGTTCCCAGGCAGTTTTTAAAGAGGCCCTTCCATTTAAACTAGATTGAATTTTTTTAAGTATTTTTCCAACATATCAGTTGTTGTTATCTCTACCTGATATGACCAAACTATACAAACAAAATTCCTTTTGTGTAGTTGGATAAATACATGCCAGTGTCTCAGCTGTTTTTTTTTTTTTTTGAGATTATAAAAGCATTTTTCTTTCATGAATGTGATATACTTGTACATGTCTTTGTTTTGTACATAATTTGTAGGTACAGTACAGGTATACGTAGAGTCTTATTATTATGGATGCCTAAATCCGGCAAGATGTCAGACTGGTCTGACAGTTGTCCAAGTGTAATTAACATCAGTGCATTACATTTGTGCGCATTACCATTACATTTGTGCAGCTTTTGATAACATTTGCGCGCATTCTTTTACAGGTTAATACAGGTATATTATACATATTTATTTAACTTTTATTTTCGAACAGGATAATTCCATTTTATTATCCACAAGCACTTAGTCCTGGAAATATATATAGATAAAAATATAAAAACAGGGCAAATCTAAAGGTTAAAAGTACTGAGTTTATAGTACACCTAGATCCTGCTGATGCCCAAAGACTTTGGGGAAATAGGGAATCTGGTAAAATGCCTTTGCAAATATTTACAATGCATCACCATGAAATACCAGTATCCCTTGACTTAATTATATATATATAAGTGTTCATTTGACTTGGAAAGTAAATCCATCGCACATTAATGATTGTTCCCCTGATTTTTTTTCCCTGATAAACGAAACTCCATGTTTTGTGCCTTGACGCAACTTAACAAACTGACTTAAATTATTTAAGTGATCACTATTCAATAAAATTAGGAAAGAGAATACTTTTTACTCTGAAATATTCGCAATTAACATGATTAAGTTATATGTATGTCTGAAGCTAATACATGTTTTCTCATGATCACTTTTTTTTTTTTTTTAGAATTCAATATGAATAAAATATAATTTAGATTTACAAATATTTTCAAAATTAAAAATAACTATAGTCATATGTATGGGTTATTTTTATTTTTACATGTGTTACCTGTAAAATGAATGCATGCAAATGTAATCAAAAGCTGTGCTCAAACGTAATTTCTTATTTCACTCTCAAGAACACCGTAGGGAATGCTGATTACTTATGATATTTTTAAAACCATGTATTATAAACAACGCTTGTTTATGTTGACATTTCTTATTTCTCTCCCTCCCTTTTAAAACTCTTGTTTTTTTTATTCAAAAGTTCGATATTACGCCAATAGTGGACAACTGCATTTGGAAGAAGAAAAAAAAAACATAAGTCATTAAACAAGGACAATGATACAAATTCTAATATTTATTTTATTTACACCAGTCAAGGATTTGAATAGTAAGTTTGTAAAATAAATATAAAATTCTGATATTTCACATGGTTAGCCTGGGAAGATAATTAGTCAAAATAGATATATTATGTCCCATAAACAGTTAAAAGGAAAACAAAAGTATAGAAATTATTTTTTATTAATCAAATATTCTGGTTCCTTTTCTTTATCTAAAAAAAGAATTATTAAAGGAAAGTCGATGTAAAATTCATCAATAAACTGTGACCCTAAAATCACAGGTAAACTGGAGGCAGTGATGATCAGTGATCACTCCTGGATCTGGCTATTCATTTCGGACATGTCGGATTAAGGCATCCATAGTAATAAGACTCTACCTGTACTGTATTATAATTAGGAATTTGATATATTAATACAGCTAGGCATCATGGTCATGTACATTGTATGTACGAAAAATGTACATATGTAATATATGACATACACATTAAATGCCCTTTTCATCCAAAGTGTACAATGTATATACAATATTTTAATTGTATGTTATACTGTTCTTTTTATATTTTAGATTGCAGATTTCAAGTAAATTAGATACTTTAAAACCACAAAACCCTAGTCAAAAGTCATGGAGTACAAAGAAAAAAAGTTTTACAGGAGTTAAGCCAACAGATCAGCAATCGACAAACAATCAGTATTGTAAAGAAAATAAAAAACCTTTTATAGAATCACTCACAGTGACCAACAAACAGACAGACAAACCACAGGGATCTAAGCCTGTTCCAGACAAACAGATTTCTAAGACTGTCCCAGCAAAACAGGTATCTAAGACTATTCCAGTAAACAGAAAGACTGGCTCAGTGTCAGAAGCTCGAAAGGTACAGACCTCCACACTTAATGTACAGAAGTCATTGGGACATGTTAATAAAGTGTCAAATCCTGCAGGAAAACCCAGGAAATCCCTTCCAGACACATCTGCAGGAAAACCCAGGAAATCCCTTCTAGACACATCTGCAGGAAACCAGAGGAAATCTTTTCCAGGCACATCAAAAACCAAATTTCACATTACTCTTACCAAATCAATAGAAGTAGTCAATTCAAAACTGAATCAAAATGGAAACCCTCGAAAAAGTTTATCAAATAATGGCAATGTGCGAAGAAGTGTATCTAATAATGAAAACTCACGAAAAAGTGTATCAAATAAAGATGTGAATTCACGGCAAAGTTTCTCTGTGAAATCAAGACGTAGCATTTCTTCGGTAAATGTGAATTCACATCATCGAACTTCTGGTGTGAATAACAACAAAGTGAAATCAAATGTTCCTAAAAGTAAATTGATTGTGGGTCAGAGGTCAAGAAGGCATTCAGATATACATAAAGAACAGAGAAAAACCAAACCAGCAAGTATTCTGAAGAGAAAGTCATGTTTTGCTAGTATAGATATAGAAGGAGTTTACACAGTTAGTAAAACTTCCGATCATGGTAGAAGTGTGAGATTTATCAGTCCAGACACACAGGAGGACCACAGTACAAGTACTTTTAGGAAGACACCAAAAAGACCAGTAGATAATGTGATAAGTGACAGACAACCAACGCCTAAACACTCGACCAAGAAACCTCGACATAATGAAGAACAAGTCGTCATGAGGTATAAAGTATAACCAATCTTTTAAAGCAGAAACTGATGTAAACCCAATGATTATATATTTTCTTTTAAATTTAAAGTTCATGTACATGTAAGCAATTATGAGTGATATTAGCAGGATAACTTCACCATAGATTGATATAATTCTAAAGGTTTATACATGTACCATTATTATCATTTATAGAAAAAAAAGGATAAAAACATAATATGAATAACTCTATCTTTGTACACTTTTGTACTTGTCATTACAAAATCTGGAAATCTTACCACTAAAAACACAATCTCTTGAAATCTGTTAATTTCTTCATATCTTTTAAAGTTGTTTAATTTGTATTTCATATTTTTGTAGATCAGTATATTTAAACATTTTATACTACTTTTAAAATTCGTAAAATGTGTGTGTATTCACACATGTCCTTGAGTTTTGGGGTACAATTATCTGGTCTTAGTATCCTAGGATCTGTCTGATTGTTAAAAAAAAGTGAACCCAAGATTCAGTTTTCTGCTTCTTGGATTGGAATGAAGCTTGACAGAATCGTTTATGCCACATATATTTTGATATGTCAAAATCTTATGCTTTTTTATTGTTTTATATCTGCTGCGTACAAGGGGTAAAAACATTTTTTTGTCTATATTTAAATTGAAGCTTTGCTTTCAATTTTTTTACGCTTTTTTTTCAAATTGCAATTCTGTTTTTCAGAAACAAACTTGATGAATGGTTGAAGTCTAAAGGGAAAACACCATCTAAGTTCCGACACCTGATGTGTTTCCATGATGACAACAATAAGACAGATTCTGTTACTGATTCCTGTATAAAAAGGAGTCTGACTGTTGAGGAACTCACAGAACAGGTATACAGAATCATTCCAAGATTCATTTCTTACGTTATGTGCAAAAAGTTTGAAATTTTACTACATATAAATACATGTATTGTATAAACATATATAAAACATTTTAGCTACCTGGTCAAATCCAAATCAATTACAGGTTTATTCAAAACACCAAAAAATCTAACTTAGTATAAATATCATTGAAAATGTTAAATAATTCTCTCTCTGTGCACAACTTTTAATTCAACTACTAAGTAAGTCACAAAGTTATTGAATGTATGTTATTTTAATAGCAAATAATTATTTTGTTTTAGAAAGCAACAATTGATCGAGAAGATAACATAGCGGTAAACTTAGCGGACCAGTTTAGAGATGCTGCACTAGAAGAATTAGATTCCATGTTAGAGGAATGTACCACATTGTTTGAGGCTGTAAGTTTTTTTGGAGGGTATAATTCCCATGTAAACATGGTAATATTGTTAGAGGCTTTAAGTCCTCATATGTTAGTATTGGAGGCTCTATGCTGGTCTCAGTAGAGGGGTTATTTTCTATAAAAAAAAAATTACGAAAACTACATTTATTTCAAAATTTCAAAAATTCATTTTATTTAAATTTCTCCTTCTTCATTGAAACATGACAGAATTGTCTTTCACCCAATGTAGCTTCAAACAGTCTACAACACATACTATTTAAGTATAAGATTCTAAACCGTTGTGGATCCATGATCTTTGAAAGGGTGGTGCGGGAGACAGCTTAATTTTGCAATAATTGAGGATGTAGTGAGAAAATAAATTGGAGGATTTTATTCTATGTATATAGATTCTATCACTGCATCGAGTGTGATACGATATTTATCCACTCGAGACAGTTAAATTTTCAAATTTAAAACGCGAGGCTTGCCAAGCGTTTTAAATATTTAAAATTTAACTGCCGAGAGTGGATAAATATCGTATTACACGAGGTTTCGTGGTGGAATATGTTTCTCTAATGATTTTCAAACAATACGCAGGCAAATTTATTCCATTTTTTCGAATGATCTGCAAAAAGATGTGTTCTTTCTATGTGACATCATCAGGCATGGTCGCCTTTTTTCATGCCGTCACAATAGGAAATTCAGAGGAAAGCAAGAAAATTCGACGTCATAATCAGATTTTAACCAATGAATAACTGAGATCAAATGAACCACACATTGATTAAATTTTTTATACAATGGGTGCAGAAAGGGATAAATTGACGAATAGTTAGAGAAAAAACATTTATATATATCTTAAAAAACATGATATTTGAAATGTTTTGGTGATCAAAGTGAACGTATGTCTTCTATGCCACCTGCAGCTGCCACTGCTAAATAGCATAATTAAAACTACATTTTGGCACAGTAAAAAAAACAGTAGCAATTTCATTTTGAACTAGACAATAAAATCTACAGTCCTGTTATATTACAGTCAAACTGTCAGAATAGTTACCTTCATCTAAGGGTTCATTGCCCACTCAAATGTTTCCTCGATAGTTGTATCTTGTATCTGCAGTAACCTTTTAACCCTGTTAGATATTTATATGTATTTATTATAGGGTTGTCCAAGAGAAGACATCTTAAGTTGGCTGGATTCTATCAAACAGAACATACAGTTATCAAATACGTATGCCAAGTTTTATATCTGTAAAGCCAATGTATTGAAAGGAAGAGAGAACTTGGAGGAAGTATTGAAAGTTTATGAAGAAGCTGTGGTCAATTCAGCTCAGGTCAGTACAAACTTTGTCTTATTTTATGGATTTTCACTGTACAATGGTAGGCATGTAATGTTGATCCCATGAAATTGAAAGTAATATTATCTATGAAATGTAATTTATAAAGGGAGGACACAATATATATATAATTACTCTAAATATCAGCACAATAATATGGAATCTGCAAACTTGCGGAAGCAAATTTTTGTTCTTCCCTCGCCAGGATTTGAACTCATGCTATTGGGATATCAAGACGACACTGCCTGCACTATGTCCGGCGCTCTAGACCACTCAGCCACCTAGACAGAACTAAAAAATTCATCTTTTGGTGGTGTAGTGTTACCTTTCCTCTCCTAAAAAATCTAGAGTTGTAACACAGCTCATGATATATATAAGGGATGAAGATGGAATAGGATCTCTCTTTTTTTTCTTGCTAAAGACCTCTCTTAACAGGCAGATTTTCTTATCTCCTCGAAATTGAATTAGATTAATTTTTTGTACCCTATTGGAATCATGTTGACACTGGTCGTGTCATCAGCTGATTCCTGATGCTTTGATCTGCTCATTATACAACACAATTTTGCAGGTTATGTGATAAAGAAGTACATGCACAAAACAAAACCATAAGATTGAATGTTTATTATATGAAGCATTTGCAAAAGCTCATGATTGATTGGCCATTAATGCATCAAAAATTAGATGGGTAAAATATAGGTTGAAATTAGTCATGTCTCTTATTTGGTTATGATATTGAAAAGTAATACATGGATTATACAGCCTAAATTATGAGAACTTTTCATCTTCATAAAAAAATTTACTTAAACGTTTCATGTCATAGATTTGTAGTTATTTTAAAAATAAGTACATAATTTTTTTCAGCCAGCACATGAATTAGCCACAGCTCTGACCAGCATAGTTAAAGACATTTGTCAGCAGAGAGAGAAGAAAGCAAGACGAAGAAGTGCGGCAGATGTTCAAGAAGAAAATATCTTTGAATCCAGTGCTATAAAATATACTGTTAGACAAATGACTCCTCTGTCTAAAAAGTAAATACAAATGTTCCCCATCAGACAACAATTTTGATGTTTTATATGCAAAAATGTTATACATAAATCCTCTTAATTATCTTGTTTTCTGCCATAGCAGAGGGGGCATTAAGGTTAACTCTTGTTCGTCAGTAAACCCGTCCGTATGTAAATATGTCCCGAAATTGGTTTCAGTTCTCTAACCTCAGTTTGCCTCAACCAAATGCTTATTACTACAAAACTCAGATCAAATTTGAATTTGGGTGGCGTCCCTTTTACCTTTCTGGAGTCATGCCTCTTTATTACTTTGTATGCAAGTGGGGCCTTTGTCCCATGGACACATTCTCAATTTATTTGATAATAAGTCATTGAAAGTTTTCTTTATTAAAGGGATTGATAGTTTGAGAGATCAGTTGATAGCATGCAAATGAAAATTATCCAAAAACAACACCCAAAATAAGTAAATTCAAAACTTGTTGAGTTGTGAATAATAAGATAATATAAATAATATAATCTTTGTTGTAAAATTTGGACTAGTTTTTTCCATTTTGTTAAGAAGGTATTCATCCTATTACATTGTTTTCTTAAATTACTGTTGTACATCATTTATTGTCTAAAGGTTAAAATTCATTTTCAAATGCCTCAACATTCGTCAATCCACAGTGCCTTATTCATTGCTCACTTCTTATTTTATTTTTGATTCAAATACATTTTTGGTGTTTCAACTAATAATATAGGGACTTAATCAATTTCTGTGTCATTTGGTCCCATGTGAAGAGTTGTCTCATTGGCAATCTTACCACATTTTCTAATTTTTATATGAATTAGATCTTTTAAAGTTATTAGGTGTTTTGTATTTTGTACTGAACTTAACCACTGACTGAATTTCAGACACTTTGATACACTTGTTTCAACATAATTTCATTTTGCACTTCCTATTTCAATTGTATTATTCAATTGATTCTCATGGTCACCCATAGCAATATCTTAAAAGTTGATTAAAATGCTATTAACTATTTGCAGGAGAAGGAAGTCTGCAAGTGATGTCAAGAGAACTTCACCATGCGTGGTAATCACTCCTGTCAGACGGTCAACACGACGAAGTATCTCATGCTTACCTAGTAATCTCCATGATAAGAATCCTACATACAAATCACTGGAGGATGTATCAGACAAGAAAAAAACTCTTTTCTTCCCTAATGAGGCATTAAATTATGAAGATTTGGATGAATGATAAAACATTGTTATTGATCCTGTAAACTTTCAAAAATTTGCGAAAAAAGTAAAGCATGAGTGGTTGTTCTTGTCATGATAAACTTTGTGAGCTCTGCTCAAGTGCCTGAATTTTTATGAATTTGAACATTGTCAATATATCTATTTCATTTAAGTACATTTTTTACAGAGCAGTTTCACTATATATTAATGTAAATTTGTTTTTTTTATGATTGTTGAAAATGGACAAAAATGCAAGATTCGATATTTTAATTTCAGGAAATGCAACATACAAATAGTGCTGAAAAATTTTAGATGTGAGATTTTATTTTTCCCAAACCAATACTGTTTCAATTTTTGCAATAATGAAAAAATCTTCCAAATACAGTCGAACCTCGTTGTGTCGAAGTCGAAGGGACCGGACCAAAGTATTCGACTCATCCGAAGTCGAGTGTGTCGTCATAAATTTGGAATGCATGAACTACGGTGTGAGATTTTTGTAAACTAGATACAATGAACAGTGTGCCTTTTTTCGAAATGACACTTTATGATTGTGTATTCAATCTCCATTTTTGGTCCTTCGTAATAATTAAACACACAAGTACAGATACAAATCATGCACAAATAAAATCAATAGTCTACACAAATATTTACAAATGTCAGTCACTATAAATTATGAAATCCCTCGCGGCACGAAATAAGTTCTGAACAATCTCTGATGAGTTCGTCTGCTTTACATTAAATTATCATGAATTTTTTATAACTGTCCTAATCCTTTTATTTATTGTAAATAATGAGTTTTAAATCTAACGTTTCATTTAATCTCGGCTTGGGTCATTTAAATTCGTTTCGTTTTTATCTCAGGTGAAAAATGTTCAACAACACTAACATTCCGGTTGAACGATCAACAAAGGTGTTAATTAGCCGTCTTCATAAACATGTCATTTTAACTGTTATACAAACAAGTATGTTTACTCAGCTTTAATCTCTTTTGAAAATGATTAGGTGACATAAGAAATACATCCGATTTGAATTTTTATCATTAGGCCTGCATCTTTCGAAAATTCTTACTTCCGAACTTCGAGACATCGGGGTGAATTTACATTAATTTTACTTCGACGGGACTATAAAATTTACTCGACTTAACCGAGTATTCGAATCAACCGAGTTTCGACTCATCAGAGGTAATTATGTATTGATCAAACAGGAATTTTACCGGGACCGAGAAATTACTTCGACTCATCCGAGTTTTCGACACAACGAGGTTCAACTGTATCTGAATTAACAGTATATAATCTACTACCATGGTTTAATGAAAAGTAATGTAAACATGATATGTAGGGCTGAAGCAATATGATTTGGTTCTGCTATTATTACAAATTTCCTGTTCTGGTGATTATTAGATGATGCAATCATAGAACATTTATATCTAAATATGGTTTTATATGCATGGTAAAAGTCAATCAATGTGTGTAAGCTTTAAAATTAAATTCAATTTAGACAGCATTTATTTATTTTATCTCAAATAATTGTAGAAATATTGAACGAAAGCAACAGTGATCAAACTGACAATTTAGGAAAATTTGATAGACAGGCATGAATTTAGACAACACATGTATGAACAGTTTTATTTACATTGTCACATGTCATTTTCTATTTAACTCCATAAAATACTTTTAGCTTTAGTTGCAGGTTTCCTGCTTTAATAAAACACTCATTTCTGAATCTCTAAGTATATAAATAGTATTGGGTGTGATACCTAGTAAGACATATGGGCATTATATGTATCAACTGTAAATTATTTTACATCTACATTAGCTTTGCTTGTTTAAAAAAAATGAATTTGAAAAAATGAAAACATAAATAAATGTGTATTTAACCGCAATTGTATTAACAATACAAAATTGAACTTTTTTTTTATTGTATAATAAATTATTTATGAGGTGCAATTTTGTAGCAAGTTTTGTTCAATGTCATATGAATGTTTGTTCTAAATCCTGTTGTCTTCACTTTTTAATACATGTGCATATCTTATTTTAATAGCATATAAAATGATTTCTTTTATTTAATGAATAACGCCTCAAAGCTGTAACTCATTTTAAATTGAATGATTAAGAAATTGATTGACAGCAAACATTATAATGATTATCAAATCAACATATATTCCAAAGATCATAATGTTTTCTTATAACCATATTTAGATTTGGAATTTAAGGATATGTGAAGTATAAAGCATTTTCTTTTTCAAGATATTCTATATTTGAAAAATTTAAATACCGAAATGCTATAAAAGAAATGTAAACTGTATATTTATGTTATTTTATGTAATCAACAAACTGGTGGCCAAAATTATAGAAAAATTGTAGCATTTTGTTGCTATTGGTATAGAAACAAACATTTTAGAGTTAGTAGGAACAATTTTGTTTGTCAAACTGATATAAAAAAGTGTTGGAATTTTTCAATGTTGATTATAAAATGCCTACAGAAAGTGGAGATTATGATATGTATGAAAAACAAAATTATGCATGGAACTGAAAAAAAGCAACCTGTCTTTTGTATTTGAAAAAAACTTCTATATGTGTGATATTTTAGATTTTTTATCTGCACTTTTATTATGTATACACTGTACTTTTTAACAAAGGATAGCAATACAAATCATATATCTACAGTATTAAATTGTATTATTTACCCACCAGTCACCAAGGTTATTATAAGCAAAGACTGAATGTTCCTAAGGAGGCCTACATATGATTTTAAATAGGTCTCTCTATCATCATGGCATGTAGATTCTATAGTTTTAACAATGAGTTTAGTAAATTTACTAAGGAAAATGAGATGAAAATAAGATAACAAGCAAACAATTAGTCCTTAATAGAAGGAAATACAACATAATGAATTAACAAGAATGTGTCAATAGTACACGGATGCCTGTAAAATTGGGGTCAAAACTCTAATTTGGTATTAAAATTAGAAAAATCATATCATAGGGAACATGTTTACTAAGTTTCAAAGTGATTGGACTTCAACTTCATCAAAAACTACCTTGACCAAAAACTTTAACCTGAAGCACGACAGACGGACGCACAGACCGAAAAACATAATGCCCCTAGTTGGGGCATAAAAATATATAAATGACAGACAATGAATAGTCCACATTACATTAATCAGAAACATTCATGATTGAACAGGAGAAACCCCAAAAAAAGATGAAAACTTGTGCCATAGAGAGTAAGTAATAGTTAATGCATTATATGTTGCAACCATTGTGTTTCTTATAACATGTAAAAAAATGTTAAAGAATTAGATAAAGGATACTCTAAGGTTATGCCTACAAACAAATGAACATATCAATGCCTGAATGGTCATCTGTAAGGAATGTATTCCAATAAAGGGTTAATATTCAGCCTAAAACACTTTTGTACATCTTTTACACATTGAATACAATGAAATGAGATGTTTATGTCACTATGTGTACTTACCTGATTAAACTTTCAATGTGTCTCGGAAACCATATAACTCCTCTTATGTAACCACACGTTGGTCAGCTTTGTTTTTTCAGGATGCTAATTCTCTGATTACTTGGATGTTTTATAGAATTTGATATGAATATCTTCTCAAAAATCCCATTTTAATTTTGGGGATTCAACGTTTTTGGTCTGTTTGATCTGTTATTGAATGGATCATGTTATCCTATAAATAATGCATAAAATACATTGGACCGATTCATATATGTATTACCATGAGGCATGTCATAGACATTGGTTACTGTAAATACAGAAATTATTGCATGCATTTATTATTGTGATTTTTGAAAAATGAACAATGCAAGATTAATTCTTGCAATTTCATGAAATCTGCGTATTATATAAGAATGCAACTTTTTATTATTGCGATACTTATCCAATCACATTTTTCACATTAATAAAAACCTCACAATTACTTTTGAACTTACAGTATGTACTATGTGAAATTTGTAAGGATTAGTGGTCAGTCAATATCTGAAGATGGATATAATTATTTGGAAGAGTCTACTGAAAACTAATGCAAACACTGAATGCACATCTTGTTTAGTCAAAATTGCTGTCAGAACTAAAATGCTGAGTCTTCTTTTGGAAAACATGTTCAGTCTCATAAATAGGACTAGTTTACAAATTCCGTTAAGAGAAACATACAATCATCAATGTCTGTTTATAGTATTAGTTCCTTTCAGGGAAATGATTAAGCTCTAATGTCTTCAAACATGAAGATGTTTTCTATCTAACCTGTTCAACAAATTAAAGCTGTAGATGGGAATGCACATGATTACCTGTTTATATGGATGTTGAAGATAAAGAAGCATTTTTGGCTGTTTCACATCATTATACCAATGACCATTACCCAAATTCGAATGTTTCAGATCATGACTGTCGAGTTTCTCATGCCCCTTTGAGTACACATACTTCAGATCAGAATATGTCAGTTTTTGTTTCTGATGGAAACAATAGTTTGTAGGTGACAAAATGAAAATTAGAAATTGCAAGGACTCTGGGAATAAATTTCTAATGGCACTTAATTAATAAAGACAATGCCTGAAGTATGACAAAAGTATGTGAACGAAATAATATTTAGTTTCCCTTTTTTCGTCTGTCCGTTAACAATTTTTGTATATGTAGAGGATCAAAAAGTATAGGTAGGAGGCCAATGAAATTTGCACATATGTTGTGCATAACTTATATGAGCATACTATATTTTGGTAACATTTGGCTCATAAATGAAGGAAAAAACTTCGTTTTTGTTAAACAACATAAGTTTTGAGAAATGTCTTGTAAACTTAAAGCTTCAAAAGTAAAGGTAGGAAGCCAATCAAATTTGGCATGATATGTAGAAGTGCATATTATATTTTGGTGAAACTCGGCTCATTCAGTTTTGAAAAAAAAATCGTTTTTGTTAAGGAATCACAAATGTGCTAGCTTCTTCAGTAAAATGCCTGTACCAAGTCATGAATATGATAGTTGCTATCCATTCGTTTGATGTGTTTCAGCTTTTGATGTTGGCATTTGCTTACGGACTTTCCGTTTAGAACTTCTCTCAGAGATCGGTATTTTTGTTATTTTACTTTTTGTTGATGTGATTCATATTAAAGTGTTTCTCGTTTCCCATTTTTCATATAGATTAGACCGTTGGTTTTCCTGTTTGAATGGTTTTACACTTGTCATTTTTGGGCCCTTTATAACTTGCTGTTTTAGGTGTGAGCAAAGGCTCCGTGTTGAAACCCGTACTTTGACCTATAATGGTTTACCTTTTACTAATTGTGACTTGGATGGAGAGTTGTCTCATTGGCACTCATACCACATCTTCTTATATCTAATAACCAAAAATAGACTAAACAGTAAAAGTAATAATTTACAAAGACAAATAAATGAACACTATAACACGTAATTGAGATGATAAACAACTTCAGTACCTAGAATCAATAGTTCAAGACCATCGTGTATTATTTGTGATGTTGATACGGAAAATTACTCAACATAACAAAATTTGGACATATTTAATCTGTATGAAGACTCAGTTCTTTGACATAAATGTGTAATAAGTATATTTATACAGATTGGGAGCTCTAAACAGACATGAATGAAAATTTTACATTAAATCCTGGCAAAAAATGTCAAGCGTAACAGTACATGATTAACAAAATCACAATTTCCCCGTGAAAGTAAAAACTCATAGGAATCACCGAAATTAAAAACAACGTTGAGGGACTGATCACATATTTTTCACACAAGACAGTTCATTAATTATCTCACAGAGTTGCAGAACTGGTACCGGTATTATTTAAAATAATACTCATGCACGTGACCCTTGAAAACATGATGCTTGGCTGTTTTTGACAACCTGATTTCCAGCCAAGTAGTCAGCTCTTCAGTGTTGACATGAAATATCAATGATAATTTCCCTATATATTCTGTTGACAAAACTGTGAATTATTCGAACCACTTAGGTTTTTTTTACTACAAAACATATAGACGACCTTATAGCAGTATTTTGCACAACCTTTCGAAATTTTTGTTTTCAATGCTCCAAACTTCGTTTTTGATTTGGCCTTCCACATTTTTATGTTCGACTGTAAACTAATGAGTCTCAAGGTTGCATTTCTGTAAATATAAACAATGCAATTTCCCATAGGAACTCCCTTTACGGCTAAAACTGTGCCACTATTACTATGAAGTTTCGTGAAAAAATATATCCTAGAATGGAAAGATGATATGCAATAAAATTTTATTCAAATGTCAAATCATAGGGCTGTGCGGCATATTTTCAACATTTATATGCCCCAAACTTCTATAAGTTTAAACTTGCACTTAAATTCTGTACTACACCTTCCTTTACTTTAGGACCTCCCCAGAATTCAAAATTCGCCACAACCATGTGTATATATACTGGTAAAATTCCCAAGTTAAGTCTCTATGAGATGAAAGATAGAAATCATAGATGGGAACCAGTACGTAAACAAACAAAATATCTATGAATATTATATATTTCCCCAAAAGAGGCGTGGTTTGTAAAACAGCTGTATTTACAAAGTGCAACCTATAGTAGACAAAACACGCTTCTGGCGTAAAAAATTATAAGCCTGGTAACTTGATGAGTTTTTACCATATTCTTTGTCTGCTTTGCTGCCAACTTTGTATGAATCGGAGTGGCTTTAACTTTTACCGACGATGGTGTAGTATTGTAACTTTCATTCATTCATAAATATTTATATAGTTCAAGAGTTCACGCACGTGTTGTGTTGATAGACATAGCAGATAAGGGCGCGTCGTATTGCAATATGTATTTGTGTTGATTACTTAGCTCTAGCATTATATTAAAGTATGTTAATCAGTACACATGGCTTGTCTCTTAGTTAATATATATATAGGTTACCAACGTTACATTGGCGACGAGGATAAAAAGTTGGAAATGTTAAAAACGTATTTTTATGGATTTATTAAATAGTGACACTGATAATTAAACCATGGCTGCATCTTTACCAATTTTTCCGAGTTTTCCGGTACATGAGAACAATGCTGAAATAAGGTGGCGTAAATGGATCAGTAGACTAGAAAATTTATTCATCGGTTTGAACATAAAGGACAGCAAACGACAAAGAGCACTCTTGTTGCATTACGCTGGAGAAGATGTAAACGAAGTCTTTGATACCCTTGACAATACAGGAGAAGACTTTGATGCCGCTAAACAGAAGTTAACTGCTTACTTTGCTCCGAAAAAGAATACGGAATACGAAATCTACAAATTTAGGCAAGCCAAATAAACCTCTGATGAAACTATCGACAGTTTTCACACGAGATTACGTCAGCTAGCTGTAAACTGTGAATTTACGGAAACATCTAAAGAAGTGAAATCGCAAATTATCCAAGGTTGTCATTCAACTAGACTAAGACGAAAGGCTCTTCGGGAAGATACGACCATTGAAGGATTAATTTCATCAGCTAGAGCGTTAGAACTTTCCGAAAAACAGGCAACTGAAATTGAACAATCAGACAAACAATCCGCAAATGCTGTGAGAAAAGGAGGTGGAAGACTTCGCAACGGCCACGATTTCTACAGACACAAACGGACCAAAAGGTAAAGAAAAGGACTACTAGTACTTGCAGAAACTGTGGAGGTGACTTTCCGCATGCAAACAAGTGTCCAGCATTTGGAAAAAG